GATCGCTCAGGAAAGTCAGAAACAGCATGTCTGAGCATGGAAAAGTAGCCTGGGTGTGTGAGCCCGTGCAGTGTCAGGCTGAACCCTGTAGATATCTGATCAGCACCAACAGGTCAGACCGGCACACCACAAACCATCACAAACTGTTATTACTTTTACCTTTGGAGAAAAGTCTATTTTGTTATATTCATTGAGAAGTTCTATTTTTTTCCACTTTTAGTCTGGCCTGACTTCTTTCGGATTCTGATGTTGTTCGATATAACCGCGCTGTAAAGCCTTTTTCTGAATGTAGTATTAATCTGAAATCCCCTCCTCTCGACTCTTGTTTCTGTAAATACAGCATGCTGAAGAGAGCTGGGGGGGTACTTTATACCACCTTGCATGGTGCTACCAAAGCCAGTCAGTCTGGAGGACAGTTTGGGTCGCACCGTTACTTTTCAAATAACGTTTCTCCACCTTTGTTGGTAATGTAGACAGTCTTCTCTTTCACCTTCCTCGCTTCCATATGCAGCAGCTGGGAAACGCTGAGCCAATGGGAGGGGTTGGCCAAGCAGACGCTTGAGGGAAAAAAAAAACCCCAATCAAGACGTTTTCAGATTAGTGAATGTGAATCTCTCGTGCAGCCGACAATTTTGTCAAGATTTTCATAGCAGAGCAGGTGTGAACAAGGGCTTTGTATCCATGGGAGGTGAAGAACTGTGAAGGTGGATGTAATACTAATCTGTAAACACACCTGTTCATCTGCTACTTGGTTCCACAGTGAGGTGGTTCACAAAGATGTGTACAAAGCAATTTTTTCTGACCGGTGATTGGGGGCGTTGCACCAGCAGGAGTTGGTGTGTTTTATGGTGGTTACCAATTTAGAGCTAATTATCAAAACTCTCGAGGGTCTGTGAATGTGAGAGTGAGTCTCTTGTGAGGGTGGGAGATGGGGCGGCGCCACGGTAACAGCATCTTGTGTAGACGTATGCGTAGTTTTCAATGTGAAATGCACTTTATTTTTTGGATGAAAATGGCACAACAAATTAAGTATCTGCAAAATGAAACGTATAAACGATAATCAACATGCACTAACTTAACTGAGATATTGTAAAAACAAACAAACAAACAAAAAAAAAACTTTGTGTGAATGTGGTGTCTATTTTTCCAAAGTGTTAGTTGTACTTTTTATTGCTTTGGTTAGTTCACTCAACTGAGAGATCTTGTTAATTTTGTATTAAAAAAGAAGAAAACGTGCTGTGCATAAAACTCCTGCCTCGACTGCTTTTTCCATCCATTTTCACACGCTTTTGTTTCCTTGGCAACTGTTTCATTTCTGTACTGTCACTATGGAAACTGAGGAGCCAGGTATGAGCAGTAAAGAGACATCTTTCATTCAGATTTTTATTTTCTCCGAGAGGTTACAGAGATCAAGCAAACGGTTACACGATCCCCCCCCCCCACAAAGAGCAACGATTGGCTGCGGTAAGAATGTTTTTTTTTGTTTTTTTTAAATATTAAGCCCCGTTTATCATCACAGCATTTTGAGCACGTGTCATCCGTTCGGCGGCCTGAGGCTGTGGCCCCAACGGACTCGTTCATTACTTCCAGTTATATTCGTCTACAGATTAAAAACTTACCTCACGATCTATGGCAAGTATTTTGATAAAAACATTTTTAAAAAGACAAGTAGAATGGTTAGCTCAAGAGGAAGGTTTCTAATAATTCTAACACTCTCAAGCTCTGACTAGACATGAAATAAGCACCTTTGACCGGTGTCTACGGTGTTAGAACAGGAAGAGAAACATCTGCCTGGGCCTTTACACAATACTTTAAAGTACAGTCCTCAAAACTCAGTGTTAAATGTTTCATGGAGTGGTCGATATTAGTGTTTACACCTAGTCTCTGTACAGTGTTTTACTTACTGAATACACCCCCAGGTTTCCAGTTTTGGACCATACATCAGCTTACAGCATGTGATTCTGTGCAGATAGAGTGTGTGAGTGCGAGATTGACTGACGGCGTATCTTGTTGTGCCCGTGTGTCAGTGGTTATCCGATATAAATATTTCCAGCAAGTGTGTGTGTGTGTGTTTGTGTGTTAATCCGACCAATCATTCTCCTCCAACTCGGAGTCGTCCTCCGAGTCGGAGTATTCGACGGCGATGCGGCGCGACAGGATGGTGGCCACGTCATTCCCCACCGGCTCTCGCTTAGCCTGCTGCTCCTGCTGCTCCTGCACCTTCTTCAGCTGGATGCCTGCAGGACAACAAGGAGTTAAAGCTCTTGCTAAACTTTCAAAAACCCTCTCTAGGCAGGCAGGCATCGCTGCCACGGGAGACACAATTGAGATGACCATTTTTCACGTTAGAAAAAAAAAAAAAGGCTAAACTGTCTTGAATTTGGCTTCGCCATGAACGAGTCCTGCATTATTTTGTGCCTCTAACGATGGTTTTGTTCTGATGTCATGGACCAGCATATTCAGGCAGAATAACGGCACGCGGCCGGCTCTTACCCATGCGTATAGCGGCCAGCAGATCGCTGCGGGCATCGTTGACCGCTGCGCTCTCTGCGGGTGCGCTCGACATCTTGTGGCCAGCGGGGTGGGAGGCGCCAGCTTGGAGGGGCAGCGGCGGAGGGCCAGGAGGAGGAGGAGCTGCGTGGGCTCCAGATACAGGTGGGGGGGGCGGAGCGTACATGCCAGCGCCAGCCATTGGCCCAGGAGACATGGGACCTCCAGGGGGGGAGGCGAAGGCCGTCTGGGCAGAGGGGATGAGAGGGGCGGGGGGAGGGGGCGGGGGGCCGGTGTTGGCATAGCCGTCCATGCTGTGAGAAAGACGCCAGAGGAAAGAATTAGTAGAGGCACTTCAAACCAGGGCACTGAGTGTGGCTTAAAGTTCCCAAAGGCCAGTGAGGCGGTCAGATGCTCGTCCACTAGGTGGCAGCATTATCCAAACGTCACAGAGGGTGGGCTGATGTGAAGGACTGAAAAGTCCACTTCACAAAGTCACTTCCAATAAATATACAGTATCAAATAAACAAAGTTAAAAGCCTCACAAAGTGGCTCAGCTGCTTTCAGCTGGATTTGCCGAATAAAAATAATATCCCAGAGATGTCCTGGGACCAAATATATTTAAATATGCTGTAATGCGGCTTAAGGAATTATCTCCCTGTGTTTTTTTTTCCCGCAGTCATAGTTTGCCCACACAAAAAAAGCTTTCAAAAGTATATAAGACTCTGCTGGACAACATGACCCGTGGGGACGTGTGAACACACACTCTATGATCAAAAAGAAAGCAGTATAGTACATACTACACAAAAAATAAGTTCATTATGCATTGTGTATCATAAACTAACAAATGCAATCCCGCCAACACTTTCTAAGGAAGTTAGACTTTTATTCACCTGTAGTCCACGGGTGGGAGGGGCATGGAGCCTCCGTTCATGGCCTCGGTGGGTGGGGGGGGCAGTGGGACTTGGTGGTGATGAGCGCGGCCCAGCGTCCCGCCCTGGTAGGCCATCATCGGCCTGCCTCTGATGTCATGCTCACCTCCTCCGCGGGCGGCGTGTCCAGCGGCCATCTGAGCAGCCAGCATGCTGGGCGGCGGGCCGGAGTAGGTGTGGGCGTGGCCGGCGTGGTTCATGCTGTTGGGGTAATGGTGCTGATCCACCCCATGACCCCTGAGGAGACAAACGTGACGGTCACTGATGATCAAAAACAAGCAGAGTGGGTCAACATGACGCAGGAAAAACAGTCCTACCGGTTCTCCGGGGACATGGAGCCCTCGGAGGACGCCCCTCTGTCTCGGTGTATGGTGTGCCGGTGGTCAGGCCGTAGCTCCTTATCCAAAGCCATCATTTTCCACTCCTGCCGACGGTTCCTGGCCTTACGGACATTCTTCACCTCCCTCTGCAGCGTCCCGTCCACACAACGCCTCTGCTCCTGAACAGCCAGACACAGAAGAGTTTAAAGTCCTTCTCCAGGTCACTGACAGACAAACTTTGATCAACACCTTGGACTAACAGCTCTTAGGCAGCTGTATACCTTCTGCTTCCTCTTCTCTTTCCTCTTGTCCTCAGTGTCCTGTAACATCTTTTCTTTCCACAAGTCAAAGAAGTAGGAGGGGTCCGTGTAGAATTTAAGAGCTTCCTTGTGGTCATCCCTGTAATTATGAATAAAGTAAAAATTACACCACATACAGAAATCTACATAAACAATCCATGCTTTGTTCCTGTTTAGGGGGAATAAAAGATAGGGTTGTGTAATTGTCGAACTGCTTCATTGGAGAAACAACTGTACATATCTGAGTATTAAAAAAGTCATGGTGGTTCAGGTAAAAGCTCCTGTAGCTTTACAACAAAAAATGTAAATGAATAAAAACATGCAAAATTAAATAGGCTAAAAATAAAAATGGGCCAAGTTGCCATGTAGTGAGGGTTTAGAGTTTAGGGTCCCACTGAGCCACATGTTAAATATGTAATGTACTCATACACTGGAAAGCACACCACACGAGAGCAGCTGCTAAATGTGGAAGGAAACAGCACAGGATCTGAGAATCCGCTTCTACACCGTGTATGTTAGTCAGAAAACAGCAGCGCAGAAACTCACTTTGTACAACAGATATTAAAGTTGCATGGGCCATCAGGGGACAACATGGATAAAGACAAATCAGAGTTATCCTTTATTATTTCCAATTTTTGGGATATTCTGAGCAGCAGCATGTATTCATCTGTGAGAAATGAACATAACCTGAGCAGCAGGTCTTTGTTCCGCTCATGATCGAACACTGATTTACTGATATCAACACTTCTGTGTGAATGTGCTCCTGCAGATGGAAGCATCCACGTTTCACCACCAGACAACTCTCCGCTTTCTTTCTTAATTCAGTCGTCTATTTACACGCTGTTTATATCGGTGCGTCTGCGTCTGGAGTGCTGACCTGTAAGATGACAGGATGCTGAGAGGGGGGGGCTTGTCGCTCAGGTTGTACATCTCCTTGACAGGGATGGGCACGCTGCTCTTGGACACCACCTGCTGGTCCTGCGTGGTGGAGCTCTTAAAAGCCTTCCTCATGTTGATATCTTGCAAAGAAACTGAATGCACAAAAAAGATGAACAATGACTGGGCAGCTCAAGAAAGAATAAAAGGGGAGGACAAATAAAAGACAAGATGTCATCAGAACCGAGAGTCGCTGTGAGGTGTACCCTGACCCACCTTCCTCCACGGTGGAGTCCAGCTGTGTGACTTTGACGGCCAGCCGGTCAATGCGGTCCTGCAGAGAGTTGGCACGCAGGTAGAAAGTGTTGGCCTCGTTGAACAGCTCACCAAATATGTCTTCCGCATGTTTACCTGGAAAGAATGAGCAGGGTGTATGAGAGAGACGGGAATTTGAGACAAAGGAGATTTTTTAAAACCTTTATGGAGTCCAGTAATTCCAAAAGAGGAGACGAGGTCCAATAGATGCGCCGATAAGGTGACAGCGTCTACTGTTGGTCTGCGCTGGAGGTGATAACTCACACCACTCCCTATAGCGACATCCTGTCTGAATAATTTATCATGCACCAAATATAACATCAGCCAAACCGAACTGTATGTATATGCGGGTCGATCCGGTGCCACTTCATTTGTTTCCTGATCTCGTTACACTCTGAAGTTTCCAAAGCCAGCGACTATTGATCCACAGTCTCAACTTCAGGGTTTAGTTCAGACCAGTACAACGCACTCTCCATGATGCTTTAAGACACAATCCAGAGGATTACCAAGGATTTTTGAAGCCTTATTTTGAGATTTAACCACACATTCACACCTCCTTACGCAAACAAACTCAAAGTGACACAATAGTATTTGTGAACCAAGCCTCGATTCGCACACCACAGCTGGGTTTTGTGGTTGAAAGATTTATGAATCGAAAACAGGGACGCTCTGCTCAACATGTGATTGTTGTTTTGGGGCCAAACCAAATGGACAAACACATTCTTGTCACAGTGTTTTTAAGAATAGCTCAGACAGGCCAGGATGGGACTTCCCATCTGGAAAAGTATGAGCTGCAGAGGAAGCAGCCTGCTGGCCTCAAATAACTATCTAAGCTCAGAGTTTATCAGAGCAAAAGGACCTTAATACAACACAGTAAATCTGGCCTGCAGTGAAATGAAAAGACAGAACAGCAGAAAGAAAACAGTGTGAGTAACTTTGCTGAGGTTCAACGAATAATTGAAGTATGAAACATGGGTCACATGCTATATGCCGAAGGGCTATTTCTGTCCCGCCTGCTGACAGGATGGGCTGCAGGAAAAACACTTAAAGGAAGGAAGAATCACAGATCCGGCACGCCGAGCCCCTCAACTCTGACCTCTCCTGAGGATTCTTAAGGTCCGCTTCCACACATGTGCACACGTGTCTGCACAGACTCCCCATCAGGCCAGCGCGAACATTTATATTTAACCCACACAGCTGTTGTTACAAGGCCCACTCCCACTGCCAGAACATGAGACAATAAGAGACAGCCAGAATCAATATGACGGCGCCGAAAAGCAAAAAAGAAACAAGGGCCGAGTTTAATTTAAGCTTCCTAAGCTAACAACAAAAGGTTCAACACTGTGCTGTGTGAGATCAGAAAAGAAAGGGGGCAGCTGAGGATAAAGAAGTGGAGGATGACTTGCAAATGAAAAGTGTCTCGCCCGGCCAGTGAGAATGAAGGGCGTGGGGGGAGAAGATGGACGGGAGGACAGACGCCCTTGGTGCTGTAATAACTGTCCGATACATTTGCACTGAGCAGAAAAATCGATAGATCTGCACGCAAACAGCTTTCACACATGCAAAAGCACACACACACACACACACACACACGGAGCATTAGCTGCGCGCTCACGTCTCCACAGCTGGACAGAGGGGTTCAGTTTTGCAGCGCTGTCTAAAAGGATTACATTTCAACGCTCGGCGCTCCACTGCGAGGCGGCTGTAAGCCCGCTGCCAGCCCGATGACCCCCTGCCCCGTTACCATGACAACACTCAAATCAATCACTGCTTCGGGATTAACGACGAAGGCACGTGATGTTGTTCGGCTCCAGAGAGGCTTCGCACACGGCGAGGGCATCATCCCTCCGAGGCTTGAAGACGCATCTTATCATCTTTATCCCCGATGTGATGGGGGGTCTGGGGGGGTCTGTGTGCTTACTCAGGCTGCTGAGCTGGCGTATGATGGCGGAGAGCGTGTTGTTCATCACGCACTCCAGCTCGCTGCCGATGCCCTCGGGCAGCTCCCCCCGGCAGAGGTGGCGCGGCTCGATGTTCCTCTTCACCAGAGGCATGGCGAGGCCTCACAGCGTCCTGGGCTGCGGGGAAACACCAGGAACACACACCGCGTGAGACACACATGCAGTCAGTCAGCATCCAGTTAGCTGAGGTGCTAATGAGTGAGACATCAATTAAAGCCCTAATTACAGCCATGATTAAAGTTGTGGCAGACATGTCGAAACAAGGCGGCGTCAGAATCCCCCAGAGCCTGTTACCCTCAGTCAGACCAAAGATAAAACTCTATTAACTTATATACACATATATACAATTCAAGGCTGTAAAAAGGTATGAATCTGCATTTTTGGGGGTCTGTGATATAAATGAAAAAACCCCTTATATGAAATTACAGTCATACAAACAGTTACAGTTACTATTACTATTTTGTAAAGTTTGCTTTAAATATTTAAAAATGAATGCTGTGTGCTGCCAAACAAAAGTACCGAACAGGGTGATCTAAAGGGGCAGCTCGGGCCTCTGAGCACATCTGATTACAGGGTTTGCAGATAGTTTGAGATGTCGAGTGGAATTCTAAATGATTATGCTCAAAGGGACTGGACCATTTCGATGCCAAACAATGATTTATTTGAATTATGATTTGAGCTTTTTAAAGGAACCGTTAGAAAGACAAAAGGGTCCATTCTGCCCAGTTTTAAAAGAGATGAGTTGTGTAGTGGAAAAAGCCATTAAAACACCCCAGCCAGAGTCCACAAATAATCAAGATAGAGATGTCTGAAAGTCAACAAAGCTAGAGGGTTTGCTGGTGGAGGTAGCAGGAGAGTCACACTCTGAGTGGAACATCTGAAGCGCCGAAGATGGCAATCTTTAGGCTTAAAGAAAAAACAGAAAAAAGGAGGACAGAGATGGTGGGGCTTGTCAGGACACGAACTATTAGCTGGGAAGATGTGCAGCTTAGAGAAACACGAGAGTTCTGTGCTGTGGGAATAGAAAACCGCTTCATTTTGTTATGCTAGTGTCTTTCTCTTGTTTGTGCTCCGTGTTTTTCACAGAAACCGGAGTAAGTGTGATTCTACTGACCACACAACTGAGAGTGACGGCCGACAGTGTGCCAAAGCCAGAAGACTTCTGGCGACCAGCAGAGAGATTAAAGCATTAGGGATAGGAAGATACAGCGTGCCAGCTAATCCCAAGCCGGCTCGTCACAGGCCCAGCTGGAAGAGTGACACAACCAGAGTTGGTGGTGAACACCAAAAAAGAGCAAAAACAAATACACCCCAAAGCTAAACCTGAGGCTCACTGACTTTCTCCAGATGACAACCGGAGCTGGACGACAGCGGCTACAAGTGCGACTGCCTAAATTGAACACTGATTGTCTCTGATCAGATTCTCTAAACTCTCTGTGGAGCTACGCACGCTCCCTGAAAACAGGGGAAAATCCCATGGAGCTTCAGAGCAGCCATCTTTTCAGTGTCTGTTCCAGCTTCCTGTTTTCGAAATGTGGCTCTGGCTCCGGTTTCCTGGTCCTCCCATTGTAAAGTCTTTCCTTCCTGTCCAGAACAATAAAGCTGGAGCTTAAGAAGCAACAAAGAAAACAGACAAGTGAACGCTCTATGAATAATGTCTTAAAAGTCTTTTACAAATGATCCTCTCTGGATGATGACATTTTACTGCCCTGCTATACCAAAAGAAAGAAGAAAAAACCTCCATGGAGAAGCAGGTTGGGACGGCACAGGGGATCTGGCTGACTGACAGAAGGCTAATAATAGCAGACAGGTACATGAGCAATATACAAAAAAATAACCCCACTGAAAAGGGTTTCCAAGTATTCAGCCAATCCTTGGGAAATAATGATAAAGTTTTAAACCGAAGGGTTATGTTACATCATGAATTCAAGACCACACAAACAAAACAAGTAGTAATCCCTCACTATCAGAGTCCCAACCCTGTCATTACAGATAGTCATTACAACTAACCATAAGAGACAAGAGCCTCCTCGGTTCGTGTGGGCCAATTCCCACCAGCAGAGCCCTCATATGGTCCTGTTTTTTAAGCTGGCATAGCCCCCCCTTACACACACACACACACACACACACACACACACACAAAATCCAACAGTATCTTGCCAACAAGGGAAAGTTGAATGGTATAATGACATCATAGTGTTGCCACAACACATTTGTGTCGCTGAGTAGCGACACAAATTTGGCAAATAAATTGTACATTTAGATTTCTGCCCAAATATTTTGGAGAAGCTTTGCTCTCCTGTGCATGGAAACGAGGCGATGCAAATTAGAGGATTGCATGCTTTTGCTTGCACTGTCTCGCTTGCATGACAATCACACTGATGAGGGGAAATAATGAGCGACTGGGGGTGGGGGGTGGGTGAGGGGGGGGGGGTCTGCTGTGAGACGAGCAGGGAAAGTAGTGAAGTGAAGGGAGAAGAGGGTGCATGTAGAGTGTGACTAGTAAGATACAGTAAATATGAATATGTACGTGGGTGTGTGTGTGTGTTAGAATGGAAGAGATAGGGTTGTGTCTAAAACAGAGAGACAAAGTAAATTTGTGCGTTCATGTTGAGAGGGAGAAAGAGTGGATCTGGTGGGGGGAGGGGTATGAGAAGGGACCTCAGGGAAGCCACTGAAAGGTTCCCGGGACAATAGAGCTCCGTTCACACGGCAACAGCACTAGCTCTTCCATGCATCCTCCCCTCCTCCTCCTCCTCTTCCTCCTCCTCCTCTACGACCTTCTTTAAGGCCCCCTTTAGTCGAGCAATGAAAGCACAGCAAGCGAGCTCTTGTCTTTCATCCTCCACTCCCTGACGAACGAAGGCAGGGAGTGGAAATGCTGAACTTAAGCCTACAGCTGCTTGTCGACTCAAGCTTCCCCTCACATTTGTTAGAACTAACTCCTCCTAAGGGTCGCATGTTTTTGGATACTTTAATTGTTACAACACAACAAGCAGAATCAGCAGTTCAGTCAGACTAATTTGTGCCAACACACCAGGCAGCTCCTAAAACCTCCCATTAGCAGCAAAAATGCCTTTGATCATCAGAAAATGTGACAATCAGCCCCCAACCTGGGTAAAACACACCTCCCCAGTGACTCCTGCAGGACGCCCACATCAACATGCGGTGATGGAGGAAGCCTTTACTACAGATGTGAGAACTCCATTAAGTTCTGAAAGGGGAGTCATTACCAATTCATGCACGGAGTAGAGCTTCGTGTATCAGATGGTTATTTGCCTGTTCTGATGTCCTGAATAATGCAACCTGAATTACGTCAGGTCACTATGCCCTAAATATGAAGTTTAAAAAAAAGAAAAATCCTGTCTGTCTGCTTGTTCCAACATAGACGCACAAGGGGGAATCTTATAGCTTTTCCTCTTCTACTTCACTGTGGCCAACATTTTCGGTTAAAATTGGATACTATTCCCTGACCTAAAAAGACTAAATAATTAAATAAATAAAGACATGCAATGTGCCAATTTTTCTTCACCAGATTGATAATTATTACTAAAAAAATTAGGCAGCAGTTTACATTTCTGGCAGGGAGTTGCTCTGTCTGCTTGTAGGAGTTGATTCAATACCATTTATAGATTTAATATGAATTTGCTTTCTTTTTCATTGTAGCTTTACGTCTGAAAATACTCACCAGAATCAACAATCTGTTGTTTTACTACATTAGGATCTGAACAGCTCATACGAAAAACTGTTTGCAGCATCCATGACATTAAAGCTGCCCAGCAAGATAAAGAACTTTATCCGAGAAAGATGCTGGCATCAGTCACGTTTCATTATGACCCTTTATTGGGAATTCTTTGTGATAAAATCACAAAGTATGAAATTGGAAAGTCATTTCCAATCAGCAATTTCGATGTGTTGGCCTAAATAATCCGTGCTTGGACGCTAGTCTCTCTGTCCCTGCCATCAGAGCGATGAATATGAACGCCCGATCACACAAACACACACATAACAGCATAAATTGATGGCAACCGCGATCAATCACTGTTCCGCACCGTCGCTTCCCGTAGCCGATGAACCGACTCACATCTGCTCATCCATCCCGATCCCAGCGACCTCTCCCCGCCTTTATATGCCATTTAAATGACTGCTTTTAACCTGAGAGCCTAAAAAACACCGGTAAACGCCAAATACAGACATTTCCCTGGTTAAACAAGCCTTTAAAGTGACCCACCGTGATAATAAGGTTCAGTGTTACCGGATTTAGAGTCCGTGCTCTATCTCCAAACGGGGGTCCGCTGGAACTGACCACTTGGTAAGCTAGCTTATGTCCAGTGGTCGGTTACTTAGTTTGGGCAAAACCATACTGGAGTCATAACAAATATACATATAAAGCTCACCATTATGATACAGAATGTTACTAGTTGCTACAAAATGTATCTTATGGCCCTCACCAGTACTTGAATTATAAGAAGAATTCCGCCCGTCCGCATGTCCCGTTAAATACTCCTATTAGCTCTGCCATCCTGTATCCCCAGCCAGTCTGGCCACTCGAGGGTAAATCCTTTGATGACGGAGACACGCCCCCCACAGCCGCATCGTCTAATCATATCTCCAGGCAAGGGATTTAATCAATGATTGGCATCAATATAAACCAATAGCATCACTCCATTAGAATGACTGACAGGGAAACTCCCCAGCTCAACAGCCCTGCTGCGAATGGAGAGGGCGGTGTGAGAATGGGCGTTGCTGAAGTCACCCCCCCGATTTAACCGAGTCCAAGAAGAAACGCACTGATAATTCAATTAACGACTCTGTGTAAATTTAGTAGACACGAGGATCCGATTAAATAACGAACAATAGCAACGTTGCCCACTACAGAGGTTGTGATATCCTGGGCTGATGCAGAGAATTAGCTGTGAGACTATTACATGACAAAAACACCTGGCTCCGCATCCCTGAGGTTCAGAGAAATGACTTGCTATACTTAGATCTGTGGTCTGGTCTCTCAGACTAGAATAGTTTTTGGTGTTTGTAGTCTGAGTCTGAAAAAGATTAGCAATGATTACAGAAAGACTCATTTGGGTTTGAAGTGATGGAAAGAATATAGAAGAGCGAGTGAGAGAGGCAGAGTAAAGGGACTGTAAAACAAAAATGCTAATCTAGATATACATTGATTTAATTAATATTGTCCAATTTCCTCAGTCACTGATAAGCCTGGCCTGAAGACTGATCAGTTTAACAGCCCCAAATGGAGCCATGCAACTCCTTTTCTATGCAGAATGCACTGAACAATGCATTGTCTGAATAGCAGCTCCAAAACTCAACAGATTTGTGAATTAATGGTGTTTACATGGACGTGCATAGCTAACATACTTCCAATAATGCAACCCCATGGCACAGTAGAAGCAGGAGCTCATGAGTGTGTGAGGATAACATGATAGATGGTATCATATGACCTCCAGAAAACATTTAAAAGACTTTTCAAAAGGTCACATCTTTGGTCAAAGTTTATTGAAACTTTTTTTTAACTGACTGCTGGAGTTTAAACTGCTATTAGGTGGGTCACAGGTGAACTGTATTTAGTTATGGTGGTTTTTCAGAAATATTCCTGATCTCTTGCATGGATTTATACTAATCTGTTTACATGTAGTGGTTTTTGAGGGCCTGAAGATTACAGTAATTCAGTAGTCTTTAATCCTTCATATAATTTTCCATGATATTATGTATCAGAGATGATAAAATGATATGATTTTATGTAATGGAACTACATTAAAGATATATTTTTTGTTGTCGTTTTTGGAAATTACACAATTTCCTCTTCTGATTTTTCTTTAAAGAATTTCCTTCTTTTAAGTTCATATTGTATTATGTTCTGAGTGGTATATGCTCAAAATGAGGAATTGAATGTTTCCATTTTTATTGTCAGGATACTTGTTTCATGTAAAATATTTCAATACAATACAGTACAATGCATGTTCCATCTTTCGTCCTCCATGCGCACGGTTGGTTTTGTCCTCATGTTGTAAGGCTTACCCACAGCATTCAGCTGCCCAGTGCTCAAATTCAGGCCAGCTTCCATGCCAATCTTGCCATGAAAACAAAACCATGAAAACAGATTAAATTATAAACTACTAAAATAATTTTTTGTCTTTTTTCTTTTTTTTTTGTCCCCTCTGAAGAAAGCCCTCCACACCACATTTGCGGGGGCTCTGCGTCCTCCCTGTTTGCTTCACAGCAGCTCCGTTCAGTCCTCAGCTGAGGCCCTCACAGGACCATAAATGCTAAATAAATCGGACAGACGGACTGGGGATCTGTCAATGCTGGCAGTCACATAGCAGCTTTCAGTCTCATCCAGACTCTGAGGGAAAGAGGGGAGCTGGCTGGGGTTGGGTGTAGGTGGGGTTGACAGGAGAGGAGCAGAGTCCTCTACTCGGAGCTGTCTTGTTTAGAAAAGATTAATGATGTCCTGGTAACGGAAACAGCTTGGATTCAATCATGTGTCCTTTCTCATCATCCTCCTGCGTCTTGTTTGACCCATCAGGTTTTGCTGTATAATGTTTTTCCTAATACTTGGGTTGTGCTGTGTTATCTGGAACAGGTGAGGACGTTGTAGATCTGGCCTGACGTACTGCTGCAAAGAAGGTGACGGTTTGTTGCTTTGGACACCCCCACGTTCTTCAGTACATTCGTTCAGGTGGGCGTGACGAGGGCCGGGTGTGTACGTGTCGAAGAAACGATGCTTGTGTGTGTGTGTGAGGGGTGATTCAGTAGCGGTGGGTCTGATGGGAGTACTGGGGTGGCTGTTGGGAGGTAGAGGAGTATCCCATGCTGCTTTGGGGCAGTGATGTGCTTGGTCCAGGGTTCTGGTAGGCAGCATGTGGATTGGAGCGCTGCAGGGTCAAAGACAACATGGACACATTAGATCTTGTAAATTAGGATGATGCCCATCAAATATTGCTTTTTCATAAAATTCTCACATGTGGAGTTTGAACATGCGTTAAAAAGTACTGTTGGTGGCCACTTGGAGGAGATTAACAAAACAACAAAGCTGCAAGTAACAAGACTGACATTAAAAGTGTTAATGGGCTACAAACTGGATCGTCCACCATTTGAAGCCGCTACACTTAGCTTAACTTATTCACTACACAAAGACACGTGCGGCTTTTCATGTGCGTCATCTTCTGCAACTCTATAAAGAGCCAAGCAGAGGTGGCCTTCACAGCTGCTCTTCAAGCAGCGGAAATGACTCGTGAATGATCCGTTCACTCCATAAAAGTTTGATTTGCAAAATGCCTGGTTAGGACAGCACGTGACAGAGGTCTCAGCTTCTTTTCAGTTGATGTAATTTGGGCATGTCCTCCCTGGGGAACGCCCCGGGGCAGACCCGGGGTACGCTGGAGAGGTTTGGCTTGGGAGCGCTTTCGTGTGCACTGAGCATAGCTAACGCAGCTGCCCCCGCCTGGAGGGCAGCGCGAGGGATGGAGGGGCTTGGAGACCAGGAGGCGGGCTGGTGGCAGGTGTGCCTCGAACAGGCAGACTTACCTGGTAGTCTGAGGTCATAATGAGGCCACCTGAGGTAGTGGTGGGAGGGACAACTCGCACTTTCTTCAGAGGCGGGCCCTGGGCGTGGCTATTGTCGGGGTTCCCGGTGTGCCCCGCCCCATTTGTGTGGTTGTTTCCCTGTTGCTGCTGCTGGTTCTTCTATGAATCACAACACAGAAAACCAAGCTTTTGTACATGTGTACGCTCCATTTTCAATGCTCATTAGTAGCTGTGAAAAAAACTGTTGCTCCAGCCTACTTAACATTTACTGTGTTACTTATTTTTTCCATTCATTTTCCTAAACAAACACTAATGAAATGAGCCCGTTTTACTTTGTCTGCCTTGTCCTCTGGCTCCTCCTCTGTCAGGAACTCTCTTTTGGGGTATGGAATCTGACAGCCTGCAAACACACTGGGAAAAAGAAAAAAAAGAGCAACGGAGCTTGTCATCTTCAAACATTTATTCCCATGACTCAGATCTAATAAACCAAGAAACCCGTCCTTAAGGTCCCTCGATCATGTGAGTTGAGCTAAGCAGTAGCACAGGATGCTGTAGATAAATGCATGTATGTGTGTGTTTGCCATTACTCACTCAGAGGTGGGCAGGGGCTCCTCTAAAAAGTAAGGGTCCTGCATTGCTTGCTCGGATGTGATTCTACGGATGGGGTCCATGGTCAATAGCTTCTGCAGCTGTAATGAATGGCACGCTGTTTTAGTCTCAAACAAGAAGCCTTAGCACAACTCTGAGTTCAGCTAATTCTGTGTGCCTGCATCAAAAACTCACCAAGTGGAATGCTTTACTGTCTGGTTTTACTTTATGTTTTTCCATGTACTTTATAAGGCTGCAGTTTGTATATCTGTGGGGAAAGATTTTAGCATCATGACACCTTCAGTGCAAAATGTATCATTTAAAAGATGTAAAATAATAAGTCTTAAATAAAACTAGGGAAGGAAAAAAAAACTAGGACACTAGGCTGCGTAAACTCACGTGTTCCTTCTAAAGTCTTTCATCAGTGTGGAGTGTTCTGGCATCTTTTTAATGTCCTCCCAGTCTTTATCTGCCAAATGAGGTGAGGACAGGATTACAGCATGCTACACCCTCACTCCCTCCAGGAAAAGATTATTTGGGCTGTAGGGACTGAAATAGGCTTTCTACATTTAAGAGTACCTTTGGACTCTCTGCTGGTATACGGGTTTAGATACTACTTTGCATAACAGAGTTTTTAAAGGTTTTTGGTTTCAGAAACAGCCAACATCAATTTTAAACCGTTAGACTGGCGTATTTCTGCACAAAAGCAGCAACTATGACTGAAGGAAAAAGAAGATCAGCAGAAGCTGAAATGAAGTGGAAGATATTGGCCCAAATGCAGCGCTGTGAGCGTGTGACTTGGCTTCCTGTATAGAGTCTGTGGATTGAGCTTCAGGGCCCACAGACCACATTACTGACTTCAGAGATGGAACAAGTTTTGATCAGGAAAAACCATCAGTCTCTTCCAAGAGCGGAAAATGATAACCTTTTCTCTATGTCACTTTAAGAAATGGAAGTTTAAAACAACATTACTGCAGTCATCTGGTTGTTTTTTTGTGCCAACAAAAGTCTCAGGGCAGCGGAGTCTCACCGGCAGGGAAGCCCATGACATTAAAGATGCGATCCAGTTGGTCGTGGTGGTAGGGGTTGCTGGTCTTGATATCCTCCTGGCGACAGTGGAAAATGGGCTCAGACGTCAGCAGCTCCGCAAAAATGCAGCCAATGGCCCAGATGTCTGAGAGGAAGGCAGAGAACACGATAACTTAATGGTCTTAGATCAGATAAACTGGCTGCAAACGTGCATGCATGGACTAGAACCAAGTTTCACCGATGGCTTTGGTGTAGTGCCGGGCCCCCAGCAGCAGTTCAGGCGCTCTGTACCAGAAAGTGACCACCACAGGGTCCAGATCGGCTAAAGGCTTCAGCGGTGAATTGAAGAGACGAGCAAACCCCATGTCGGCTGCACAAGAGATACAACTATCAATCAAGAATAATCAAACCTAAACTAAGCCTGGCAGCAGACAGGCAAATGAAAGATGATACTTACCAATCTTTACTCTACCCCTCTCAGGCCCCTCTCCCATCACTAGAATGTTTGCTGGTTTCTGATGGAAACAAAAGAAAAAAGTAAATAAAAAACATGTAAACAAACGTCTCTAAAATCCAAAAATATACTACATAATCTTTTCTTGGAGCTGAGCTGTGATTTGCTCAGTAGAATAACTTGTACACTGGATGTTGAGGGCAATTGAAACCCTTTGCTGCCCTCTAGTGGACAAACAATCCAGACGCAGCATCTGAAGCACAAGGCTGACTAAGACTTTGATCAAATAACCCTTTTACCAGAAAATAAAGATGGTTTGAAGACTGGAAACGTCCTAAATAATACATAAAAAGAGTTGCACACTAAAATATCTTAATAAAATGTGTTATATAAAACATTGTATCTACTTAATAGTAGGTATAACCTCAAATTTGTTTGACACATGCTGACATGCTGCGGCAGCAAAGGGAATACAAAAGCAAACAGTCCTAAGAAGAAACGGTTGGATGAATGTACATTTCTAATTTATCCACGCTCTAAAAGCATCATATTCTACTATGAACATAATATTAGTTTATAAGATTCTCAAATAACTACATTTAGTATTTTAAATTACATCTTGTTTGGACCATGTGAGGCCAAGTCATTTTTTGAATCTCCTTGTCTTTCAATCTTTCATTCCAAGTTCAAACTTTTCCCCGCTCCCATCCTAACGACCCCAATCCTCTTACCAGGTCTCTGTGGAGGACCCAGTTAGCGTGAAGATAATGGATGCCATCCAAAATCTGGTAGAGCAAAGACTTGACCATTCCCCTGGGCAGCTGAAGTGGCTTCTTGTTGGCCTTTGACGCTCTGTGAAACTTGATAATGTGCTATGGGATGACAAGAGGTGTAAAAAACAAAACAAAAAAAACAAAGTGATGTGGTTGCGCATTCCAGATCAAATGCATCCCAATATAAGCATCCATTAACCACCGTAAAATACAAACTAGATGGGTATAGCTGATGTTTGTGCCATACGTTTCCACTTCGATGGAAAGGCCATGCGAGTTTAGAGGCTCTGCGGTGGAAAATGACATTTAGCTCTGCTCTGGTACTCTGCCAGTTGTAACTGCTGACTGTAATACAGCAGAGACCCAACTACTGCATGTGAAATACTCTGTGTTAAACGAGCAGTGAAAAATCAGCCCGAGTTGGAGCTCACATCCTCGTATGTGGCTGACTGATCTTCAAATTATGCTTTAACAAAAGTGCATTTACACATGTATATATAAACAGAAGAGATATCAAACTTACTTACAAAATAAATGCACTGTTAGGAAATACATCTAGAAGAGGAAATAAGTCTGATGAGGGACAGATTGTGCAGGGCCACTCCAGTGTGTGTGCATTTTACCCAGAGATCATGTTCTGCGTAGTCAAAGAGCAGCCATACTTTACGGTCAGCATGTGACAGGAAAACCTTCTGCAGGGAGATGACATTGGGGTGCTTCAGCTCCCGCAGCAGCTGTAACACATGAACCCGCTCAGAGGAACCGCAACACCCAAAGATCCCAAACAACAAAACCATGAGGCTGACAAACTGCAATACTGGAGGTAATTCCTGTTTTTAACGGTTTCTAACAACACTGGCAACCACAAATGCAACACAGTGGGATTTTAATTGACATCAGTCTTTTACTTGACAAAGAACAACACAATGACGTGCCAGGCAGCCCTTACTGCGATCTCTCTGCAGGCTGACATGGAGATGCCAGTGCCTTCAATCTGCTTGAGGGCGTAGTCCTTATCATCCTTCCTACAAACACATAGAGAAGCAGAGCAACATCAACACCAGGGTAGACTGGAGCCCCCCAGAGAACCGTCTGCACAGAAACAGAGAGGAGGAGGGGTGAGGAGACTTGGCAGCTGGCACAGGGACTCTGAGAAGAGGCTGAGTTGCATTACCTCCAGACTTGTGTAATCAAGCTCACCTCTGAGGCTCAAAACAATAGAAAGGGAGAGGAAACAGACCCGGTGTGGCAGCTGGTGAGGGAAAAATAGAGCACTGGGACTGGCTCTTACTTGAATGAATTGGTTACGACCCCTCCCTCCCCATGGCCTAAAGCCACTCATAAACCCATGCTTTTGTGCCTGCTCGGGCCTCGCTGAGTCTCGTAAACACAAGTAAAGCCAACGTCTTTAAAAAACACGCTCAGGCATTTTGGGTTGTCCCCTGCAGACAGCGTCACCCTGGATGTGATAGGGGCTGCGTATGGAGCAGGCAGCTGCTTGGGTTTGGTCTGCACACAGCTATGATGGTTACTGGGAATGTATTTGAAACAGCAGGAGAGTTTTTAAAGAGAAGACGCAGTGGCGCCCCGACGTCCACTGCGAGTTTACCACATTAGGCATGAGTCAGGAATGTGTACGTTTACAAGCAAATCTCCGCCAAACTCTATTTCATGCTTCATTTCTATCATTACTAAAAGACCAAAGCATGCAAGAGAATAAAATAAATCGATAAAATATTGATTATTAATGCCATACATGGACAAAAAGGCACAATTACAGAAACCTCAAACTTAAGCACAATCTTTTCTAAAAAAAAACAACAAAAAATATATCCTTCTGGTTTTTAATGCTAGACGACACTAGGTATACTAGATATTATGTACTTAGTTTTGGTCGATATTCCATTTGCATGAAGCATCTTGGAACATCCATTAAAAAACAGAAAGCAGAAAATCTCACAAGCTTTGCAAATAACCTGGAATTCTTAAGGTCATCAATGTGGCAAACAGGTCAGAAATGTAATATCAAACTGTAAGGTTAAGTAGTATAAGAACCTTTAGAAATCACATGATGAGTAACAAGTTACTTCTACTAAAAGTCTTCAATACAGTAAACTTTGAAATGCTTTAGCCTCAAACACAGCAAACCTCATCTGTCAGTGGTCATTTTGGCCCATTCTAATACTCAGTAATGTCATCATCAGGCATAACATCCAAATTAATTAACCTTTCATTCTTTTAGTGCAAGAATAAATTTAACCCATTCTCCCCAAAAGCTCTAAACTGAGATTAAATGTACTGTTCCTGCTAACAGAGATTTAGAACCACTGCATCATTAAACAACAACCTGATACCATCAGACATTTGCACCTGCTAAATCCTACATCCAAAGGATCATCTCCAAAGGACCCTGAAAGTGTCCGTAGTCCAGACAAAACATATTCCAACAAGATGACCTTAGCTCTCACAGAGGGGGAAGCCAGAGTCGCAATAATAAACCACGTCTGTCATGTTACACAAAGCCGAACCAGCATCCCAAACAGTCCTAACGATCTGTTAGTCTCCAGAAATCTGCAGCTACGCGCCTCCTCTGCCAGCTGCCTTCAAAGGGAGAAAATGAGAGAAGTCTTTTAAATGTATTTGGCAGAGGGAGGGGGTTGGCGCAGGGTTCACAGGCTGGAGGCCTTGCTGGTCATCAACTCACCCATCTTTTCTCTTCGCCTTGTACACATGACCGTAGGTGCCTCTTCCCACTTTGCATCCTTCGTACTCGAACAGGTCCTCGACACGTTCTCTTTCGCCGGTCAGCTTCACTTTAAAGTCATAGTCCATTTTCACCACTGTTTGGGCTAAACGTACGCGCTCCTTCCTTATTTAAAGCTTCGCTTGGGAGGCAACTGGGCTCTTGCAACGAGCTCGGTTTGATATTTCAGCTAGTTGCCTTCCCCAGCGTGGCCTTTTCTTCCTTTAACCCAGCCTCCACATCGAGGTTTTGTGTCAAATCGGATGTTCCGGAGGGGATTCGCGGTTATCCGAGACCGTCCAGGTAGAAACGAGCCCGGATATATATACCTTTTTCTTGTTGCTGCGTTTCTCCCAGCCGGTATCTGCTCCAAAGAGACGCACTTCAGTCGGTAACGACGGCGTATTGACGCACGGCATTGTCGTAAAACGTCGTAAGGAGAGTCCTGCAGTAGAGAAAGCAGACATGAACACGAACAGACAGGCTAAACCACGTGGAAATTCATAGTTGTAAAAATCAGGCTTGCGTTATAGACCTGATCAGGAAGAGCTTCTTTAAGTTTTTGGGAAAGTACATTATTGATGTACTTTGGTGATACAGTACAGACACAACTAAATCGGCATGTTTTTTCAGACAATGTCAATCAATTCGAACCTGACTAATTGAGAAACGCATGAGACGTATTGTGTTCGCCCTCCCAAGAGCAGAAGTGCATTTGACAAAATATTATAATATATATGAGCATGAATTCTAAGTGAAAGAGATCCTAGACGAAACATACATAATTTTGACTGAGTTGTAATAATTGTGGTTTTGTCCACGCTCTCTATACGTATACTGTATATCCATTCCCAAATTCTTTTATTCTGCACGTTGTGTCAAGGTCGTTTGCACTTAACTCTGAATTGTAAATGTGGTTAAAAGCTTAGTTTTCTTTCGGTGTACCTTCAGTGTCGGTGTAAAAGATAAAGAGCAAATGGTCTTTAAAAGTCATGGACATGAAAAAAACAAACATATTTATTGAAGTTGAAAAAATCAATCAAAGATGCAGTGCACATAAACCATCTGGAATTGGATTTTATTGGTTTATTATACCAATATATGTATAAAGTTGCTGAGCAACTTATATACATATTTACTGGTTTGTTCATGTTAATTATTTAGATTTTTAAATAATGTTGGAGGTTTCAGGCCAGTCTAATTTGTTTTCATTAAGGAGTTTACGGTTCTTAAACCTAAAATGAAATAAAAACTATTAGTATACGTATATAGAAAGAGTACTTACTTTTATGAGTCTTAATTAAAATATTAGCTTTTAGAGGTGGTATGGTTTTTATTTACCCATTTAAAAAAGCAAAGTTTTTAAAAGCAGCAGTTTTATTTTTTAAAAGGGGGGGCTGACGCCATTTTTGTCAATGTTTGCATCCTAGGAACTAATGATTTGGTTAGGTTGTTTTTGACGGACAGTCTAATGTTGTACCACTGGTCCCATCTTGGTTCGAGAGACAGTGGGGAGCAGAGTGAACCGTCCATATTATAGCTGCTTTGTCAGGTACTTAATTTGCTTTTAATGTCAGTGTCACCCTTTGTCATTGTATGCTTTGATTAAGTGTTGGGTTCCGTGTATGTTTTCTGCTTGACATCATTATCTGACATGTTAATCTGTTACAAGTATTTCAGGCTCGACGCTCGCTGGCGAGCCAGCTAACAACTGTCGTCTGATTGCTATTTGCTAATGTTGGCTGTGCTAGCATGCTAGCGCCGAGTTAGCAGGTGTAGCACTGCGCATTCATATCGACAGTTCACAGTGTTGAAATGTTCTTAATATGGTCTGATATATTCGGAAGGCAATGCATTACGTTGCTGTTTAGTGTAGACATTTAAATAGCATTATTCTTAAATAGTGCTGATAAGACTCTTTGTCTTTCCTTCTTTGCCCTGCGTTGACATGGAGGAAACCACGGTTTAGTTTCTTATGTTCCGCCTCTGTAGATCAGCGATTGGATTGCCGACGTGTCAACCAATAAAACAAGGGCAGTGATTGGTCGCTGACTAGGATGACAACGCCAGTTTTGTTGCTTTATTGCCGTGCCTTCAACATGGCCTTCCGTAGATACTATTGTCAATTGTTTATATCACCTGTCATGAAGACTGCCTCGGGTTTATGACATATACTGGCTTTCTTTGACTGTAAACGAACTTAGCGTTTGTTCATATGTAGAAAAGATACGCTCCGGTGTCGCCCTCCAGGCTTAACGGTACCAAGATTATCATAGCTTTACTGAGTCGATTGTTGGACTCATTCGTCAGAAAATGGAAGGCGTTGATTTAAAGCCCGGCCTTTGGTTGCTCCCTGAAACTTAAAGGCGAGGTTAATTGAAAAGCTTTAACTTGTATTTCCTGCTGATCCACTATATCTTACAACACTTTAAAGGTAGGTTTTATAGCTGGGAACAGCGACCATTTTACATCTGTTTTCAATATAGTCAAATGGCTGTTAGCTGCTGAGTTCTGTTAGCTTTTTATTTATTTATTTATTTTTATTTGGAGACCAAATAATAATGTCAGAAGTCTTTTCATGAAAAAGGTATGGTTATCGGTTATGTCTGACTGGCACCATTGCACATCGGCTCCTCAGCACTTTTCATGGTGATGGACCCTCCTGGTGGGGGAGACGAACGGCGGAGGCAGGCAGAGCGTCTCAGACGGGAGGAAGCATACTACCACTTCATTAATGAACTGAGCGAAGAGGAATACCGCCTGATGAGAGACAGCAACCTGCTGGGCACGCCTGGTGAGCAGGGCCACATGGTGTTTATTTACTAAGTAGGGCTATCAGTGTAGTCAGTTTAATTTATTCTTCTATATATATTTATATATGAATATTAATTGATTGATTTTCCTTTTACCAGAGTTAGCTGGTTTTTAGCTTGACCTGTGCGTGATAAATTGATTAAACACTAACATTGGTCAGTATATACTGCCATCTGTAAAATGACCATCAAAAAGCTCAACATTGACAATTAACATTCAGCTGAATTTTCAGTTAAGGAAAAGTTCCAGGACTGTACGCGATTTATACTTGTGTTTTGTACTTCTCTGTAATTACAAAAACAACTTTAGATGCAGCATGGCAGACACAATCACAACAAAAACCAGTTATGTTAAAGTGTTTATTTGACAGAAGGTCCTTCGGAGCAGGCACGGCTGCTGCTATGCTTATGACTCATTAAATTTTGTGTTTGTCCTTACGTATTATCCGCTTTACAGGAGAGGTGACTGCAGAGGAGCTCCGGCAGCGTCTGGACGGAGCAAAAGAGCGTTTGTCATCTCAGCCCCGCACTGAGCAGCGTTCACAGACTGCTGACAGCGCTGAACAGCAGAGTGGTAGCAGTGATGGAGAGGAGAGAGGGACTGGAGGAAGGCGAGGGGGAGGTAGGTACAGAGAGCATAGTCTCGTTTCTGTGGTGCCTTTCCCTAAACTGGCTTTACCTATGTTGTCCAGTGTCGGTTAGTTCCCTTTTTAAACGGCTTGTGGCTAAAAGTTAGGGCTTTCTTCCATGTATAAGACACTTGAGCTTATTTAGTCTTGTCTTTTGCTTTTAAACAGGAAGCACAGAGCCCAGAGCAGAAACATCTAATGGTGATTCACTGCTTGAGTGGCTCAACACTTTCAGACGCACTGGAAATGCCACTCGCAGTGGGCAGAGTGGAAACCAGACGTGGCGCGCTGTCAGCCGAACCAACCCCAACAGTGGGGAATTCCGCTTTAGCTTAGAGATCAACATAAACCACGATCAGCCAGAGCCAGGAGACCAGAATGACACTATGGACACAGCAGAAAGGGCAGATTTGCCAGTGACTGCTCCCAGCCCAGCGGCACCCTCGATGCGCACGGTTTCAGCCCTCCCCACTTCTCGCCCTCCAGCCCCATCAAGGCCAGCCCCGTACCCCTCCCCCTGCCCGGCCACCAGTAGAAGGATGCAGACACGGCGTATGCGCAGCAGCTCTGCTACGCTTTCTACGAGCCCCTCTGCACTTCCTCCTCCTGAGGCCACCCCAGCCGCTGCTCAGAGTAGGGGCACCAATTTGCACTCTTTAGCACCTCCTCCCAGTGTTTCCAATCCTCCTGTTGAACAAACAATACCATATCAACATCCACCTATGAATGTAGAAGTAGAGCAGAGGCATGAGGATGTTTCTGCTTCTCTAGACTGTCCCCGGGTGCTGCCACCGTCTGGGTCACAGATCCCAGCCATGGGACACGAATCACGCGGCAGCAGGACTCGATCCCGTGGGCGTGCGCGCAGGGCTGCAGCAGGCAGCGGGGTCTCATCCCGGTTGTCACGGCGAAGCCGTTCTCCTTTGCACAGAACCTCTGTTGTCAGTACCCCTCCGCCATCCAGCAGTATCCTCAACAGCTCTGCCGCGGACACTGTTGAACCAGGCAGCGTCACTACCTCCGTGTCAATGGAAACAGGAGAGGTGGTGTCAGAATCTGCTGCTCTAACCGAGCCGGCCGGAGAGACGGCAGAGCGGGAAAGCGAGTCACACGTATTAGGATCAGGAAGTTCAGTGGTGAGGCGGCACCCAACCATAATGCTGGACCTGCAGGTCAGAAGGATTCGACCCGGTGAGAACCGCGATCGAGACAGCATCGCAAGCAGAACAAGGTCCCGGGCACGGGTCGCCGAGAACACAGTCACTTTTGAAAGTGACAGCGGTGGATTCAGACGCACCATCTCCCGCTCCGAGCGAGCTGGGATCCGGACCTATGTGAGCACTATACGGATTCCGCTGAGGCGCATCAGCGAAACGGGCTTGGGAGAGCCCAACTCGACAGCCCTACGCTCCATCCTGCGGCAGATTATGACTGGATTTGGGGAACTTAGCTCCCTCATGGAGACAGAAGCCGATTCCGAAGCTGTGGCTCCGAACCACACAGACAGTAGTGGTATAAACAACAACATCAGCCCTGCTAGTCGCCTCCATGCAAATGACAGTGTGCCCAGTCAGGTTAGTACAGACGAGGTTGTTCCGGAGAGGGTGGGACTGGTGGGGAGCGAGGACGACCCCAGCGGGCATTCCAGACTGGGAGGCGCAGTGGTCAGCACCACAGACGGGCGGCCCAGCAGCAGAGACACCAACAACCTGGTGGAGAACGGCACCCTGCCCATCCTGCGGCTGGCCCACTTCTTTCTGCTGAACGATGACGAAGACGACGAACACCCCAGGGGCTTGACCAAAGAGCAGATTGACAATCTTTCTACGCGTACGTATGGTCAGGCCAGCCTGGAGGGCGAGATGGGCCGTGCGTGCAGCGTGTGCATCAACGAGTATGCTCAAGGCAACAAGCTGCGGCGCCTGCCCTGCTCCCACGAATTCCACATCCACTGCATTGACCGCTGGCTCTCCGAAAACAACACCTGCCCCATCTGCAGACAGCCTATACTCGCAGTGCATCACGACTGACGGGTTCGCTCAGAAACATAACCATCATGCTCATGGCTGGCCGAACTGAGCCAACCCAAGTTGGCTTTGCATGTACATAGTGCTTTCATGGTTTGATTTATTTGAAAATATCCATTGAGTTGAAGAAGGTTGAACCAAAAGAGTGGAAAAATAAACTATAAATGCAAAGAATTAACAAAACTTTATTTTTTTAGGCTTTTTGTTTTCAGCAGCTCATTTTGTTTCCCCTCCTTCTGTGACTTTGGTTGCTACTCCTTTCATAAAGCTTCAGAGGTCAAAAGATGCCCTTTCTGCCTGAGAAGCTCTTATAGCCACTGCTCAAATAACTGACTCGTCAGACCACGTGTGACCAATCTTTTTCCCAACTGGACAAAAGAAATCACTTACAGACTTGCTTAAATCAGTATAGGCTGTAAATAACTTACCACTGCTTATGAAGGTTCTGAAGTGAGTCTCAACTTCCATGCCAACTGCTCAGAATGGAAGGACAAAGTCTTTTTTTCGCACACTATTTTAAAGCCTCAGCATCCATTTTAAAGTGTCCCTTTACGATTTGTAAAGAAATATATGATTTATTGTCCATTTTGTATGAGCTGTGTATTCAGTTAAGAAGTAAGTTTTATTCTGCACATCAACTAGTATTTTTAAGAGCCTCTAAGACTCATTGCAGTTTAGAAATTCATTGGTCAGCCTCTAAAAGCAGCCACACTGAAGTAATAAATGTCTGTGTGAGCAGCACAATTCAAATGAAACACAGAAGGCATGTGATAATCAGGGATTCAGACTTGTTGGTATGAGTTGTGCAATATGGAGAGAAGAGAGTATTGTTTTGTTGTTTGTTTGTGTTTACATTGTTCTGCTGGCTGTCATATCTTCAAAACAATGTCTTGGAAGGTTTTCTCTTGGTTTCCGCTGCATTTCAGTTCACTTTAGCCCAATATATCTTCTGAGCAAAGACCTGGAAATTAGCATAGAAAACGTATTCAAATAAAACTTTTTTTTTTTTTTAGCTTTTGCAGGTTTCTAGTTGATTTAGAAATTCTTACTGCGTTCATTTGACAGGTGAAGGAAAATAGTTTATGTTGACGGCATCCGAGTCTGTTAACACAATCTCATTTGAGCTCCAGTATGAGTGCAAGACATGAATAAGTTAAGAGTTACCACATTTGTCAATGCTCTGTATGGTTTGTTTTTGCATCACATGCATTGATTCTGCATTTCTTCCATGGAAGAGGTGGATTATGGACTGAATCACTCGTTTGACGTGTTCCCACCGGAGCCGCTTTATCCATAAACAGTAACAGAAAACAGGAATGACTACATCCCTGCAGATAATGTCAGTACCAGTACTGCTCGATTGATGCAGTATAGTATGTAAGAATGTTTGAGACTGTGGTAAGTGTGTATGGTTTAAATGTAAGTGTGCCTGTGAAGGGAAGGCCTAGTCTCTATTAAACCTGGTTCTCAAAAACCTTCTGTTTAATGAATGTCCAACTTCAAGGGGTTAAGGGCAAACAGTTGGGACGTGAATATTTATTGTGCTCCTATTTAATAAGATGGAAAGCGGGCTTTGAAATATAAAATGTGACATGTTACAATGTGATGAGTAAATAAAACGGCTATGACGAATATGTATACCATGTAATTAAACAAAAATATCACTTTTCTCTGCTCAACAGGTGTGTGAAATGTCACTATGAATCTACTTAGGAAAAGGTCTTAAGATGGGCCTCATGTTAAGTATCCATGTAAAAGTTGTGAATAGTTTAACACACTCAGAATTCAGGCTGTTTGGCTTCTATTTTATGGAGGCTTTACCTTGTCCCACATATTATGTACGACGATCTAATGCCTAAAAAGCATCCTCAATATGGATTAATCTAAAAATCAAAATATGCAGCTAAATGAGCTATTATTAAAATGAACGTGTTTCTTCTTTAAGTAGCTTATAGAACTGCCACTACAACAATTTAAATTAGTTAGTGTACACACTATAGGTACCGCATCTGTAGTCTCTGTCTACTCTTAGTGCTCCTCCCAAAACATGAACGTTTATTTAAAATAAATGAGGGGAACTTGGATAATCAGTTTACCTTTAAAAGTTTAAAATATAACATGCCTATAAAAAGAAACCTCTGCTTTTTACTCTTCGTTTCATACTGTAGGCAAGTGCTTTCTTTAAATTTCATAAAATATTGCAGGAGGGGTAAGTCAGGGGTGGGGTAACTTACGTCATCGTGAGCGCGTACGCACGACTCGATGCGCGGCCCCGTGGCCCAGCTGACCATTGAAACTAAGCGGGGACACAATGGCCAGCCTGACACCCCCTTTTGTTTAGAGTTAGGGTTCCATGTCAAGGTGCTGACGAAATACGACATACCTCAGACCCAGCGATGCTGAGCAGAGATTTGCTATTTGGCCACACCCTCACAGAAAGTTGGCAGATTCCACATGTTGTGATCATCCGAAATTCTGGGTATACTGCCATGTGAAACGTGTTTATGTTTTTTCTTTGACCGCTCACTATTTTATCCACAGCCAAATGTGCCCCTTGAACAATTCAAACTAAGCATTCGCTTATGAATCTTCTAATGTTGCTAAATGCTAACTGAATTGCTAAGTCGATATGCCAACACTTTAAACACAGAAATACAGTTGAATACAATGATGTCATAGAAGGGTTGGCAGCTGCTTTATTTTGAAAACCCTCACCGGAAGGGGGGACCCGTTTATTCGGTGTGGTGTTGATGCTGGCTGAGGCTGCCCCCTACAGCGTTACCTCCGCGGTCTCTCCTAGAAAATAATGAAGCAGGCTGACCAGCAGCGGCAGCGGCGGCCTCAGCGACCGCAGCCCGGGGCAGCCCTCTCGCGCTCTGCCCGCGAGCCGTGAGCATGCCCGCGCTCCGGCCTCCTCCTCCCAGCCACACGGACTCCCGTTCTCCCGCGGCAAGATGTATTTCAACCGGAGAGCCAAGAAGATACACAGCGAGGGAGGTATGTGTTGTTGTTGTTGTTGTTTTGTTTGAGCTCCTTATTTTAATTCTTCTTCGGGGTCCACGCCGCCGCTGAACGCGCGACCTGTCACCGTGAAGTGCTTATCTCGTTAGAAGGCCTGTCCCCTCCTGACATATAGCGGCCCCACCGGGTATGTGCCCGGCATCAGAACGGGGAACCAGGCACTGCGGCATGCATGTTGGGTGACTTTCTGTACCGGTAGGTATCCTTCAAACCTTGCTTCTTCTTTTTTTTTGGCGCCGGTTTAGGGGATACAAGGGCAAGCAGATGGCAGGTGCCTGCTTCAGGTATCATTCTGCCCCCTAAATATACATCATTTTCACATAGCAACGACAATCTAAGGGAGCCCTTATCTACTTCATCATGACAAGAGGAAGGCCACTTCAACATGAACATGCCTGGACTCCGAACTTATCGCTCTTTTAGCTGAACATCCTAAATGTCCTATCGCACAGTTGTGTGGTGTTATGTAATTGCTGCATCAGACTATTGCGTATTTACTCCCTTGTTCGCGTGATATTTCCCTCTAGGTTTAACGAATCCGGGTTTTGGCGATGACCTATGACAAAATATCTGTATGCGGTGTAGGCTGTGCGATGTTTCACCCAAACGTCCAATCAGGCGCCCGTAGAGGCAATCCAAGAACAGCCGCTTACTTCCCGACTTAAGAACCACCTGACTGCCTCCTTCTGACTCGGCCGGAAATGAATGCAGCCCTATTGGAAGGCTATCCATATTGGTCCTTCCCAACCCCCCTGGAAGTTATATAAACTGGGGCCCCTCATTTCTCACATCCCCTCCTTTTTGTTTGACTGCATTAAGAGTGGAAATGTTGATAGAGGTTTAAAATGATACGGTGTTGTAAAAGCCTGAGACATCAATGAGCGATTTCACACGAACGGACATTTAATGGGATTGTTCTGGAGGACAGGAGCATGTGTTTGTGTCATCCAATGGCTTTCAGTCGAGATTGGCACAAACTGTCAGGCTGCTCGTGTGTGTGTTTGTGTGTGTTAGTGTGGCTGCATGCCTCTTGCAGTTTCCAGAAATAGAAAGCAGGACAAATTGTGAGTGGAGATGAGTGCCAACTGGGCCATGCAGGCTTCAGGCCAGAGGCCAGATATTTATTAGCCGATAGTGGGGGAAAAAAAAGAGATATGGAAAGATGATATGGCACTTAAATTTTTAAACTTTTATCAAAGAGGCACCGTTTTCTTATCAGGAGAAACTGTACCCCTCTGACAGCAGTGATAGAGATTACATAACTCTTTAGTTTACCACTTGATATTTTGGACTTTTGAATAGAAAATCAAATAACATTACTGCCCTTGTAAGGTGTTTATTTTTTTACATCAAAATAATTAACTGGAGAATTTAATTTGTGGATGTGCTTTCTTTTTCTTTTTTTTTTTTAGAAAAGACCTTTGCCTCCTCACAGATCTAACTACTTTCATATTTTTAAACATACAAGGACATGGAAAGCTACTCCTCTATTAGTACATGTATGACTTCCCTCTTGGGCTTTTCATGTTGCATTTATTGTAATCTCCTGGAGCCTGAGCTCTTGATTCTCTGGTCCAATTAGCGTGCTGCCACCAGGTGATGACGCGTGGAACCACCAATCTGTCACGTTTATTTCCACACAATCGCAAGTACAGTGTGAACTCAAGTTTGTATTACTAAATGACTGCGGGAAAAACGTGTTATAGCTCTGTTTAGCTGACTACTATGAACCTATGCAGCTACACTGCCTCCATAAGTTCATTATACTTTTGAGGATATTATATTGGTTTCAGGAAACAAGGGAAAACTAACAACCTGTAAGGTCTATGTCCTCCATTTTCTACAATGTCTCTTTGACAAACAACATTTGTTTTGAAGACTAAGGAGTTGCCTGGACATGTTGTCACGTGAGCCGTACAGCATATCGTGCTGTCAACCGTTCGTCTGTTTTTGGAAGATAATAACTGGTTGTCCTAACTGCCGAGCCACTGAAGATGCTATTTGGTAGATAGGGAGAAGCCTGATAAAATAACAGTATTTACACAGCCTCTCCACAAGGGGGCACTCTTGGCCAAGCTAGAAAGTTTCAGTTAATCCTCAAGTTGAGCACCTTTTTACAGGGAAATGTATTTTAAAAGTTAAAGAGGCGTTCAAGTTCATTTGTATTACATATATTTACACATAGAAGGGCTGTGTGTGGAACAGGATGTGTATATTGATTGTTACTGTCCTGTGTGTGTTGTTTTCTCCCGCGGCGGCCTTATTTTTGGCACCCACAGAGCAATTAGTTTTGACCACCATTAGGCAGGAGGCTTCTGAGCTGCAGGACCCAGGCCAGGGCGCCAGCGCTACAATGCGTGCCCGCCTCACAGACAGGTTTGACAAAAGTGAGTTTGCTAAAATGAGACTGGATGATGCCCCATTTGTGCTCGGAATCCCAAGGTGCATGCGCCATACGCAACGGCTTGGAGCTGGCGTCTCCCAACTCCCGGCCCTTAAGAGCTACGGAGTGGAGTTGGTTTTGCGCCTCCGGATTCCAGCTGAACAGGCTCAGACTTCCTGCTGTGGACTCCGTAGCTCCTCTGGGCCTGGAGGGATGAATGCTGAGGAGGACCTCACCCTTTCACTGCATGTGCTTGTAGGAAGTAGTAAGCGCTAACGCTGGTGCAGCGGGGCAGACGTAAGCATAGCCTTCAGTGTGAGCACACGCATGCTGTGGAGCGCAAAGCATGCATGTATAGACCTGGCATGCATGAACAGAGCATGCACATGAACTCTGCTGCATGCCTGTAGGAGCGAGCTGGAAAAAGGCGCACAGGGATGGAGCTGCATGTTTGGCTCCTTCATGTTTACCAGTGTTAAAAGATGTACCTTATTCTGTGTGTGTGTGTGTGTGTAGGGTGTATCTGTCAGGGTATTTGCCTTCATATGGACACATTAAAACATTTTTTGTAGGTGTGTGTGTGTGTGGCACCTGTCAGATTAACAGGTTATGGATTAGTAGCAGGTGAAGTTGCCGAGCACACACAGGAGGGATTACCATGCTCGCTCACTTCACCGCTAAGAGGCTTTCATGCCTTACTTCCTACTCTGTGAAGGTGGCAAATGGACCCATGGGGACAGATAGCAACCAGGTTAACCTGGACCTGGAAGTAGGGCCTACAGGTTACCCAGGACACCAGGGCAGCCATGGGACATAAGGGTCGCGCAGACAGGCGGTGCTCTGTTGGTAATGTGTTCCTGACATCGCAGCGTTATTGTGGGCTGGATAGAGGCATATGGGTTAGAAATTTTGTGTTTTATTTATATATTCATAATGATTTATTGTCAGTATTATTTTAAATAGAAGGGGAATACAGCTCTAGCAACGGCTACATTTTTTACCACTTCTATTCACTAATTGCAATGTATTCTGATCTACTATCTTCCTTTTTTACCATTGTAAGTTTTAGATTTTTTAAATCTTAAAACCATTATGAGATTTGATGTTACGGGTCCATAAATCATATTTTATAAAAGGATTCAAAGTGAAAAAAATGTTAAAGAAAATATACAGTATTCAAATGTTTGAATGTATGTTAACTGTGACAGGCCTTGTGAGCGGTAGACCTCGGCTGGGCCTGGTGCCATCAGAGGACCCAAACCTTTGCTGTTGACTCAAAGTGACTGCAAAAAACTTTGTTCCGCGTGTGTCTTAACAACATGGCAGCACACTGGGAATATGCAGTCCCTTTGACAATTTCTCTGACAATAACAGAGTGGAATCACCCTGAATATCTGTCCCTGATGTGCCATGTGGGACGGGAGCCCTTCAGCATGGGAGGATAATTGTAGCAACTCAACTACAGCTGTCGTTATGATTAGCAGCTATTGCCTTTCTGGCTCATTTCATCTCTGGGCCGCATGATTGGATTAAATGTCTGAGCATATCTGAAGCTACATTGGTGCCATTATGAACTACGATTCTGACTGTTTCAAATACAGCAGCGAGGCAAACCAGTGGCTGCTTTGGAGTGAAGGCATTGGCGGATTACTGCTGCAAAGCAGAGAGTGTGGTGAAATATGCTCTGCCATACTGGAAGATGTAGATGAATTATGCAGCCTTTTACCATTCATTATTCAGCAGCCTCGACTACTTTAACAGCAAAAGTTTGGCACCAACTCAAAATACAAGTTATTACTTGAAGCCAGGACCTTTGACTGTCTTCACATGACATATCTCAGGCTTAACCTTCTGCATTTTTACCATGTGTTGCTCTATTTGAAATGTTTGGAATTGTAACAATCCGTTTGAGTATTCTCAAGAAAGGACACAGGTCTTGTTAAAGACTTGGCTACCAAACGGGTAGCTGGTAGAAGCTTGTGAGCGGGGCATAAGATCAGAGTGTTGAACGGGGATAGGTCTAGTCTTACCTGCCCTGGCTGCAGGTTTTCAGCCCTGAGAAGTCTGTCTGGCTATGTCGGGTGGCTCATTTGTAACCGACCTGGCCGTGTGTTCCTGGCATTTGTTGCTGACTCACCGAAGATGCAGTGGTAATGAGTTACGGAGGCAGCCGGGCCTCTCTTTGACCAGAGATGAGTAACTCAGGCATTGATCCCTTCAGAAATGAAATATACCAGAAGCATGGTGCTGAGGGAGCCCTTATTGATCTTTTTGGAAAGGTGGTGTCTGCTGGGGTTAAAAAGATGGAGGGAATGGCAGGATAAAGTCTGTACCGTAAAAAAGAATATTCTGTTTTTAAACGCACAACCACGTTTAAAAGACATTAGGATTCACCTTCATAGCTTTCCCCAACCTTTAACCTTGTGTCTTTCTTAATCATTCCCTCGCAGTAATTTGACAGCTGCTTTGCGGAGAACTTGAAGAGCTGTGATTGGGACTCAAAGCTCATTCCTGTGGTACGCTGCATGCCCTGAGATACGGAGATCTAAGATAGGCTGTTTGTTATCGCTCTGCTTGGACAGACTTTGACCCTTGTTCTGTGCTCTGTACAGAGTTTGCCGCCTTGCATTTGCTAGCACTTGACTGATGTTAGAGGGCTTCAGCTCTTCAAATGTCAGGCCGGTTCTTTGGGTGAAGTAAAAAGTGGAGACTAACTGCCGTACCTCTAGAAGTGCAGAGGTACTTGACACATGACCCCCACACTGTGGCTTTTCCTATGGAAACACTGACCGCCTGATGTGCCAGGATGTGTGATCAAACATCCTTTCAGACATCGGGCCGGCTTACGCGTTCCCTTTCAGTTTCTCTTCCACTCCAGAACCTCGAACTTGAGTGGAATATAATGACGTTATCTGATTTTGGTTATTGATGAGGGAGGAGAAAAAGTCGTCTAGTGTAACATTGTGGTGCTACAGAAATGGGGTTTCGGGACTGAGGAAATTCAATCTGCAGAAGCCTGCCAGCGCTTATTCTTTTTTTGAATTATTCATGCAATTAGTCTGTTGCTGTTTTCACTCTCAGCCGGGCCCATTGATGGAAACACAGGGCACCGTTCCCAAGAACGATATCATTATCCAAAACACGATCCAATCACAACCCTCAGGAGAGTCTCATGGTGGAGGGGTTGATCTCTGAGCACATTTACAGCTGACCTGTACAGTCCGCAGGAATGATCCAGTAAATGCATGCCATAGCTGCAGCGGTGCCCGTTGTACTTCTGTGTGAGACAAAGATGTGAGGGGACGGGACCTGTAGGAAGGGAACGGCGCCCTCGCAGAGGCATCACGGCAGAGAGAAGGCGACATGAGGTGATCCCGAGTGCCGTTTGTCATTTGACCCACCCGAGCCGGACCCACAGAGCTCGGGGCGGAATAAAAGGCTCCTGGCCCTTTAAAAGCGAAGCCCCGACTTTGCCCCCTCCGCAGCTCCTAGGGAGCTCCGTATGTCTCCCCCCGGCTGTCCGAGCTCTGAGCGGAGAGAGAATCGGCACCAGGCCGGAGGGTGGGGATTGATCTGAACGCCCCGGAGGAGCGGCTTCCCGGGGAGGGAGGCGGTCGGTCGGAGGGACGCGGTGCGATGGCCGGGCGACGCGCGCCGGTTGACCGGGACCGGTAGCGTCCATTCCTTCCCCCTTCCGGCTCTCCGTGCGGAGGAGAGGCGCCACGCACGGGCGCGCTGCCCAGTCCGTCCTCGCCTGCTTTTTCGCCGATGTCAGAGCAGCTGAGTAAACCGCGGCGGACAGACCTGTTTGCTTTCCTTTTCCGTCAGCGCCCTGGCTCTGCGGTAAGCCGGGGCCCGGAGCCCACGCGGGGGGAGACCGCGCGCGGATCACGACGCTGCTGGGAGCTGACAAAGCCGGGGCGGGGAGGCGGTTCTGCGGGAGAAGGGCGCGTGTTTGCACCCCCTTCCACGACTTTTCTGCATAACTCGTGCATGCATCTAAAACGTTGATCCCCACTCCCCACTCCTCCGTGTCAGGCCGCCACACGAACACGGCGGCGCGCTGATTAAAAGCAGACCAACCCGGCGCGTTTGTTCGCCATTGTGCATCCCTCAGCACATCCATTATACGCGGGGGGTCCCCGTGGGCGTCGCGAAACGCTCGTGCGTGCAGTGACGGAGCGCACGAGAGACAAGGGAGGTGTTATACGGGGAACGTCACAGAATCGACCCCAGCAGCAGCAGCCATCAGTAGAGCAGCCTCTCAGAGTAATTGGTCGCCTTGGCTTTTGAAGTGGAAAGCAGGTCTCCCCGTCTGCGTGTCTGTCCCACACACTCCCTGCCCGTCCCCGTCTCCGTGTCTGGCTCTGTCTTCCCACGGGCACTCACTCAGACTCGCTTCTCTCTCCCATCAACCCAACGGTGCAGGACCCTCTTGCTCATCCGCCGGTTACCGCAAGGCAGATGATGAGATGTCCGGGACCACTTCCCAGGCAGATCCGATAGATGCCACGGCCCGGACGGTGCTGCTCAACCGGCCTCAAACCACCAAGTTCTGCGACAACCATGTCAGGTATGTGTCACGCCTGAGCCTATTATCCTCTTATTTTTGACCGTACTGCATGCTGTTTTCTCCCTTTATATAGACTACATTGTCTGTATGTTCCATCCTCTATTAACAGGTTGTCACTTTAGGGGTAAATATTGATGAGAATGTCTGGTGCATCTGAAGACAGCATGCCAGACCTGCTTAAAATCACCAGATTTCTGATAGAAATTGTGTTAGTGAGTAAATCAAAGTTTTCTGATGCAACTTAAGTAAGCCTGGTTTGATAGTTCATATTTTTCAGGCGTAGTATTTCAGTGCACGGCCCCTGTGAGGGTACCTGCTTTCTCATCAAAGGATGGTCCAACAGTGGATGTTTGCTCAGGGGGTTTTAGATCCACATTGTCGGGTTGAAGGACGCTCCCTGATAGCCTGTTTGTATGCTTTACCCTGTGGCGTTCACCGTGCCTCAGGTAGACTTTGCACCGCAGAGATTTAGTTCTCTTTCTCTTTTCCAAACGGTCCCCTCCCTTCATTTCTTCCTCGTATCTCAATCGCTTAAACTGTGGAAAAGTCTCATCTTTTCCTGGTGTAAATCCTATGAATAAGGCAGTGTAACTTATGAGATGACTACTTTAAGGTCTGCAGCCGTCCCACAGGGTGAAACTAACATGTCGCTGCAGCGGTAAAAGGCTTGGCTTAACAGAATTACACGACGGTGTTGCTTAATCGATACATCCCCATGAATATTTAAAGCTGACAGTGGATTGAAAGTAACTACATTTAAACACACTCCCATAAGTTACAGTGGAGTCCACTTTTGCTGAGCTTATTTGGCCAGAGATTTGTTCTTTGTTTGAGGAAATAGTCTGGAGGTGAAGGTGGGAACACTTCTCTGGTTTACACAGTTTTAGACTGCAGTGTTTGGCTTTAGTCAATTTTGAATCACACATTCTGTCACGTACCAGTGCCCCTTGTGATCTAGCACTCAACATCCCAGTGACATTTTTGATGAGCATGTAAAGGGAATGGAAAGGGCCGAACAGCGTGTGCTGCTGTCGCTTTAATCAGCATCCTTCCAGCTGTCATCGGCATATGTTACAGGCTCTACTGTGGTCCGAAATAGCAAGTCAGTCAAATAGTATTCCGGTTTCTCTCAGTCAGACGTTGATGTAATTTGTGTCTTGTCTTTGTCTGTTATCCGGTTTTCGGTTTGTCCCAAACTGTGTCTGCCACTGACGGGAAAACGGTGCTCATGTACCGTCGCCGTTGTTGTTGTCGGAAATTGGATTTCTCTTTAAAAAAACAGAACAAGAAAAACCTCTTGAGCCTCACAAATGAGATTAAGGTGGGCACTCCCTGGCTCATCCAATTGGATCAGGGGTGGCATTCTGTCTTCTCTGTGTGCTGATTGGAGGAAAGAAGAGTGCTCCCACTCTGGAGGGCAAGGCCTTTGATGTCCCTGTGTTCCTGTAGCAATTCGGTTTGTCTCCTAAAAGGTTCAGCAGCCTTATTGATTTTTGCTTGGAGATTAAAGCTTTATGGCTTGTGTCTATAGATTTAACATGGCTCTTTCTCATTTCCCAAACCTTTCCCATCTTTAAACTTAGAATGTGCTTCGGTAAAAATGGGACGTGACCTGCTCCTCCTAATGAGAAGAAGACACCTGCCTATCTCTGCCTATGTCTTTCCAGACTAGGGGCCCCATTGTCTTTTAGCCTTTTTTAATGTATGAGGATCCCTGTTTTTTATAAAAACATAGCAAAGCCACACAGCTGCAGGAGAGCATCACCCCTACAGCTAACAGCTGCTCACACCACCAAAAGGTTGGACATCTATAGGGTGAAAGATAACACTGCCAGGTGTTTTGGACTCTTTTTCTGAAACATGTTGGAATACTCTGGTATCACTTGTCTTTGATTAGATTGAGGCTACTTTATCTACTTGATCATAGGTGTAGTATCACTAACTGAGGTATCCATGGCACCGGGTCAGGATAGGATAAAGCTGTCGCTCCGCCGTTTTCTCATGCAACATCCTCCTCGTAGTATTTTATGTGAAGTACAGGAGAGGATGTAAAAAAAAGAAAAAACATGTTTGTGTCCTCGGAGATCTCCGGATTCTGGGTGTTGCGCTATTTGTTTCATGCACTGTATCACACACAGACATGCTCTGTCCATTACAGAAAAGCCATTTCACATGCTCTTAGTCTTCATTTAGGCCGCGAGAAAAAGAGTAAGTGGGCCTTGTGTTGAAGGTTGACTTTATTTTTAGCTTTTGCTAAAAGCTCTTACAGTAGCTGTTGGCCAATCAATACAGCTGTCTGATCAGTACAGTTGACTGACGGACATGTTGAGGGTGCCAAGGTTTCTTCCACCTATTCTTTTTTAGGGTTTGGGGCCTAAATTTAGTGTCTTTGAAGCAATGTCCAGATTTATTTATAGGTGTGCCATGTGTTCTGCCTATAATGGGCCTGTCTGCCCACTTTGAGTACAATTAAGTCTTTTTTTAAATAGATTTTTAAAGTGCTTTAGTTTTAAATCCCAAATGGGGTTGTTTGGTATTCATCCTTTAAAGGAAAGCACTTTGAGCCAGCCGGGTTAAAAGGCAGTTTTTCCGCGATTTATGCATGGATTTTCTCCTTTTTGCTAATGTAATGCCTTTCTCCGGCTCCCTCTGTCTGGTCATAAACTAAGTGTAAACTTGATTTTTTTCCTTGCAGCACCACCAAGTATGGGGTTCTCACCTTCCTGCCGCGGTTCCTGTATGAGCAGATCCGACGGGCAGCCAACGCCTTCTTCCTGTTCATCGCACTCATGCAGGTAAACATCACGGCAGCTGACGGGGCTTTTGGCACAATGGGCTCCATCTTTGGTTTTAGCGTTTTAGCCAATTGCCAAAGAACTCCTCTGTCTGCGTTATTACTGAGCTCCTCATAAACGCTGTAAGTCTCCTAACACTCGATCCTGTCCGACTGTTGACTGTTTGCTCTCTCATCAGCAAATTCCTGATGTATCGCCGACCGGCCGCTACACCACTCTGGTCCCACTCATCTTCATCCTCACCGTGGCCGGGATTAAAGAGATCATAGAGGACTATGTGAGTACCGCAGCAGCCAACATGGGAAGCGGAAGCCTCTGATACTGGAGACAAGGTCATGGTATGGTCATCTTAGACGTTGACGGCTCTTCACCTGTGTCTTTACAGAAAAGGCACAAAGCAGACAACACAGTAAACAAGAAGAAGACGACAGGTAAGGCCAGCCTGCTCGTTTATGCGCATCGACTGTCTGCTCGGTTTTCCATGAGTGTGCTTGTGTCTATTTGCTTGGGTTTTGTTTTCCTTTCATGGCTGAATGAATGGCTGTTGTCTGTCAGTCATTATGGTGCAGGGCACTCAGCGCCACACAAAAGTTTAGTGGTCATGAATACTACATGAGAGCTGCTGTACAGGCTGACTGATGGCCGTGTTGTTCTTGTCTCTCAGTGCTGCGAAGCGGAGCCTGGCAGACGATAATCTGGAAACAGGTATAATTATCACATGGTTAAGCTTCTTATGTATAAAAGTGACATAAACTGGTACTCAGTGTGTGTCTTTTTTATTTTTTTATTTCATTTTTTACAAAGAATAGTCAAAACAAACAACTTGGCACTGGAAATAGTGCACTGTTTTCTACAGTATTTCTTTTCTTTCAGATTTGGATTTCTTATTGAATGTACTCATTAGCTGAGCCCAGCTGTGTGCAGCTTTGCTCCATTAGGTTGAATCAAATCAAATTAGGTTTCTCCTATGTGGGTGACAAGCGTGATCAACAGGCATTAAGCTCCACAGTTGCTAAGTGTCAGCACAAGTAAAGGAGTTTGTTCTAGTTGTCATTTTAACTCATTCATTTCATAAAAGAGAAATTGAGTTTTCTTTCCAACATCAGCTGGAAGTGGCAATTTTTACAGCCGTTTCCTTCTTGCTTCTAATCTTGTAGTGAAATCTCTTATCTAGGTTAAAGACATAGAATGCCCTCCTCGTGTCCCATTTGAGATTGCAAATCGCATGATTCCGACAAACCACTGCCGTAGAGTAGTGCTTTGTCTGAAAATGCTGTTTAGGAATCGATAATGCTGCCGTGCAGGTCCATGAGGACTGTAGTGTCAGTTATGTGCCCCCTGTGTGCTGGGAAATCAGTTTTCTAGATGCTGATTTCTTTATTTTAGATAAACCCTCCAAAAACTGCTCTTCTGAAAAGTATCCATTTTTAAATGAATAGCCGTTATCCCAGTTGAACTGTGAACATCTCATTTGCACTTTTATTCTTTTCCCTGCTTTTGTTTCTCATAGCGGTCTTGCTGTAATCTTTGTGTCTTACTCTGACCGTGTATGTTGAAGCCCAATCAGAGTAGTTCTCGCAGTTGCACTGCTGTGCTCACTGTCACATTATCTTAAATCTTTCTCAAAGCTGACTGCATTCTTTCCGGTCACCGATTAACCTGCCTGTTGTTTCCCCTGCTGCCTTTCCTATTCTCTGAACCCACCCACTTTAACACCCCCCCCCCACTCCCCCACTCCTCCTGTTTCTCTCCATTCCGTTGCTGCACCGCTGCAACCTGTCCACAAGGTGGCAGTAGGAGACATAGTGAAGGTGACCAATGGCCAGCACCTTCCGGCTGACATGGTCATAGTGTCCTCCAGGTCAGACTTTATGTGTGTGTGTGTGTGTGTGTGTGTGTGTGTGATTGTACATTAAGTTTTGTGTTAATACAGTCTGCCTCTCTGTAATTTTCTCTGATAATTTGCCTTGCGCTACCTTCTACGGCTGCCACTAATGATTTTTGCCATGAAATTTCTTTGTATGTTTTGTTTTGAAATCCTTAATAAAAAAACTGATTTCTGGTAAGAAAATGGAAGCATTCAATAAACTAATGACTACTCTTTTTAATGGGCGAAATTATACACAACAATAATAATGACATACAACAAACACATTTTAAACAGTAACTGGAATCATCTAATATGACAATAAGATTTAATAAGTGAACGAGTGAAACTAACTCCTGAACGGATGTCAGCTAATGGCTAAAGATCTGTTTTGATGCATCTTTACCTTCATTTTCACAGTGAGCCACAAGCCATGTGCTACATTGAAACATCTAACCTGGATGGAGAAACAAACCTGAAGATTAGACAGGTTTGAAGCCTCTGTTTAGCTCTGGTTATTGAGTCTCTGTGATGGACTCGGTAACAGTTGTCCCTGGGGGAAAAAAATCCACCATCTTGACTTTACCTCTTTGTGGTTGTCTTTCCAGGGCTTGCCACTCACGGCTGTTGTTCAGACCCTGGAGGATTTTGTGGGGCTGTCTGGTCGCTTGGAGTGTGAAGGCCCCAACAGACACCTGTATGATTTCACTGGCACTCTGCGGCTGGAGAACCAAAAGTGAGACGTCAACACTCAAAAATACAGGATACAATTAGTTGTTTTTTTTCTTCTTCTTTTTTTTTTGTTTTCTGAAATAAAAGAGTAGTATCTCAAAGGAACTTCAGTACAGTATGAGCCTGAAGCTTTAAAAAATCTTTCTTGATTAAGAAGTCCCATAATTTTTTTCTCATTTCGTTTCTTTTTTTTTCTGTTATTGTCCTCAGTCCGGCCCCCCTGGGCCCGGACCAGGTGTTGCTGCGTGGCGCTCAGCTCAGGAACACTCAGTGGGTTGTAGGAATCGCTGTCTACACTGGCCATGACTCTAAACTAATGCAGGTACATCCATTCTTTTGTCTGAAGTCTCTAAGCTTTGTTCGCAAAGGGGAAGATACAGCAACAAATGTCATAAAAGTTGGTATCTGAGCTAAATCTTAAAAAAAAAAAAGTTTTTAAGAGTTTTTAAATAAGTTGTGCAGTATGAGACATTCATAACTGGGAGTACATCCAAAGGAAGAGTACATGTCCTCAGTCCTTCTGTTCTAATTGCTTACATATTTTTCAGCTAACGATGATCATTTATGTAACAAAATATCTTATTACTTGAAATATTTTAAGCATGACTTAAAATATCTTGATGCTGTAACTCAGTAAAGCAGTGGGTGTTTCTCACTTATTTTTCCTTGACCTGCCCACCTCTCAGAACTCCACCAAGGCACCACTGAAGCGCTCTAATGTGGAGCGGGTGACCAACATGCAGATCCTGGTCCTGTTTGGGATCCTGCTGGTCATGGCGCTGGTCAGCTCTGTGGGTGCAGCCATCTGGAACAAGGAGCACACAGAGGTTGCCTGTTGGTACCTGTCCCGAGCAGGTGGGAGAGAACACTCACACAGAAAAAAGATCAAATCCGTCTACCCGTGGTAATCAAAAACAAGAGAAAAGTTATCATTGTTTGTGAGTGATGTAATTCTGTGTGTGTGACAACAGGTGATATCTCCACTAACTTCGCCTACAACTTGTTGACATTCATTATCCTCTACAATAACCTGATTCCCATCAGCCTGCTGGTCACTCTAGAGGTGGTCAAATTCACACAGGCCCTCTTTATCAATTGGGTATGCGTCTTCTCTTTAATTTTCAAAATATTACTTTAAGCTCATTTTGAAAGTGAAAGGATTCTGATGCATGAGGTCAATGGCTGTGTTCTGTACGTTTGTCAGGATGTGGAGATGTACTACGCTGAAACGGACACACCAGCTATGGCTCGAACATCCAATCTTAATGAAGAACTGGGCCAGGTCAGTTCCCGGCACTCATCATAACCTGTACAGAACGTAACCTTTACATGCAAGGTCTATTAATAGAGTTGGAATAAAACATGCCTGTTTTTTCTTTGTCTCTTCCAGGTGAAATATCTGTTTTCCGATAAGACAGGGACTCTGACCTGTAATGTCATGCACTTTAAAAAGTGCACCATCGCAGGAATCACCTATGGGTGAGTCATCTCTCCTTCAAATGAAATCTTATCTCTTGAATTTACTTATGAAACCAGTCTTCTACTGAGAGAAATCAGCTTGAACACCCCTGAACATCCCTTTTTGTTGTTTCACTCTCTTAATTCATATTTTAGACTAACCTGACTAAGAATTAGTTATTTCTCCGAGGAATGCACGCTTGCATGCTCGATCACATAACTAATTAATTCATTAACCAATTTAAACTGATTCCTTTTACATTTCCACCTGACTGATAACGCAGCCACTTCCCTGATCTTGACTGTGATCGTTCAATGGACGACTTCAGGTTAGTGACCCTCTGCTCTTCTCGTCTGTCTTTCCCCTCCTAATATGCGTTTTCTTTCCATTTTGACTCTACATATTCTTTAACATACACTTTGTATTTGTGGTTTGATTTGGTAAATGAAATAAAAAAAAGAAACAGCAAAGTGTCTGACATATTGTTTTTGTGTTCCAGCAATCTGCCGTCCAGCAGCAACAACTCTACAGAGTTTGATGACCCAGCTCTCATTCAAAACATTGAAAAGAACCATGTAGGTGTCCCTCACACCGTCCATTTTGCATTTATTTAAAGCCAACTTTCCCAAATAAACTAGAAGTTTTACTAATTAAAAAAAAAAAAACTTCTTTGGTTTTTCTGTGTGCACTCAGCCTACATCACCACAGATCTGTGAGTTCCTGACAATGATGGCTGTGTGCCACACGGTAGTTCCAGAAAGGGAGGATAACCAGATCATATATCAAGCCTCCTCACCCGACGAAGGAGCACTGGTCAAAGGTGCCAAGGGGCTTGGCTTTGTCTTCACTGCTCGGACCCCTCATTCCGTCATCATCGAAGCTGTGAGTCTGTCCAGCAGCTGCACGTTTCTCTGGGTTATCCTCCTCCGTTTGGGCAGAAACTGACATGTCTTTTTCTGTCTATCAGAGGGGAAACGAGATGAGCTATGAACTACTCAATGTGTTGGAGTTTTCCAGGTAAGTCTCCAAAACAAAGGTCCTATCGATCAGGAAACAATTGTTGGTGTAGGACTGCATGTTAAAGCTCGAATCAATGCTTCTTTTATAGTAACCGCAAACGCATGTCCGTGGTGGTCAGGACGCCCAGCGGGAAGCTGCGTCTGTACTGCAAAGGAGCGGTATGTTTATCCCACTGCCAGTATCATTCTGCTTCTTGTTAAAACAGCTTTCTGTTTTTTAATGCAGACCATTCTTCTCTCTTTTAGGATAATGTGATTTTTGAGCGTCTGACTGAGGCGTCTCAGTACACAGACGTAACTGTTGCTCATTTGGAACAGTTTGCTACCGAGGGTAAGTAAACAAACAAAGGAAGTTTTGTTTAAGTTATTTCACTGTATTTATCTCAATAGCTCCACTTCCATTCAGTCAGTGTATTATATCTGCTCTTGCTAGCTTCTATACTACTTGTATATATTTTGTGTTCATGCTAGATATATGTATAGACCAGTCTTTATGCTTTTATAATTCAGCTACGTTGACTCAAGACTTTTGTTGAACTTGAGAAATATCACTGAAAATGCAGTGTAATCGACTGCAGACCTAATTTATGTTAGAACCACCTTTCTTTGGTTATGTAATTTATTTGTGTCCTGTATGAAACTATTCACTCTCACCTAAACACAACTGTTACTATATGTGCTCTGTGTGTTTCTCATCCTCCAGGCTTGAGGACTCTGTGTTTTGCATATGTGGATTTGGAGGAAGATACTTATCAGGAGTGGCTGAAGGAATATAATCGTGTCAGCACTGTACTTAAAGACCGCGCTCAGAAACTGGAGGAGTGCTATGAGCTGCTAGAAAAGGTAAACAATTGATCATAATTCTGATTGGAAAGCCCTCGATTAGCTGTTTTACACACCTTGTTTTTAAAGGTTCAGTACCATTTATGGGATACTTATCTGAGGTAGTTGGGTTTAGGTTTAATTGATTGAGTCTGACATAAGCAAAAGTATTTTGACTCATGAGGAGGAACGCACGCTGCTCGGCTGCCAGCAGGTGGCAGAGCAGCTTCAGTGATCGCACCCATTCTTCCTCTTTATTACTCATCAGGTGCTTAGAGTCCAGTTCAATTCACTTTAGATGTATTCATCTTTTTTATTGTATTGCTTTCTGTATTTTTTTCTGGCAAGTAGCAAAAGTAAGGTAGCATTGACTGAATGAAGTACACATTAGGGTATTTGGTAAAAAGCTTGGACTAATTGGTGAGGAAACCAGAGATTTTAAGAAGAGAGTTGAGGTGAGAAAAATGTGAGGGCAGACCTGAAAAAAAAAAAAAAAAAAAAGGGAAAGGGGGAGGAGGAGGCTGCGAGCTCTGGCTAAGAGACCTCAAGGGTAATTACCTGCGTCGGCCTGCCAAAAGCTTAGTAGATCTGCAGTCAACAACGCAGTTGTGTTAACTTGTATGTCTGTGTGTCTGTTTGTGTATTTGTCCAAGTGTGTCTAATGAGGGCACACAAGCATTTAAATGCTAAACAAATTAAAGTGGAGGGGGGCGGAGGCTGAGGTTGGTAATGGGTTACTTTTTGCCCCATGGAAACAGAGTTTGCTCCGGTCCAGAATGAGCTGCTTGGCTGGCTGAGCTGAACCCGCTGGCATTGCTCCCCTCCTCAAATTAGATGTGTATGATGCTCTCAGAGGAGCTTTCACATATACAGTCTCGCTGAAATATTTGGCCAAATATGATTTATTTTAACAACATTAACTTTTTGATGCCATTATGTTTTGCGTTCATCAAATTATGTCAGACTTTTTCCACCCCCCCCCCTCCACCCACTCGTCACGCACTGCTGTTCCCTCGACAGAACCTAATGCTGCTGGGTGCCACGGCCATAGAGGACCGTCTCCAGGCGGGTGTGCCAGAAACCATCGCCACTCTGATGAGGGCTGACATTAAGATCTGGGTCCTCACTGGAGACAAACAAGAGACTGCCATCAACATTGGTGAGAGAGGGGTAAATACTTGGAGTGTTGCATAGTGTGAGGGAACCATGCATTTGCTGGTTAATAATATGATTGCTGGAATAATGGCTAGCCTTATGTGGGCTGTGAAATTCCTGACATGCCCTCTTTCTTCAATTGAAATGTGCCAGAGGACGGTGTAAACACACTGCCGGGGAATGCGGTGACATTAGCGCGTTGGGTTTCTTGGCAGCTGCCAAGGAAGTTGATGGCAGTTGCCCAAGAAAGACAGGACCTGAAAATAAAATCTGAGCTGACACTTGTCGCTCTTAATTTAAAGGCCGGGACATTCCCCTGAGTTGTACTGGATGGGTGCCCCCTCATTTTTCTTGTACGCCTCGGCATGAGGTTAACATATGTCACAAATAACCAACACCATGCTTTTCTTTAACTGAAAGAAGGATATTTACCGTCGTGGGTTTGGCCACAGAGTGAGCTACCTCACCTGTGTTTGGCGCTTTGGTAAATCTAATCTCTCTCCTCCGCTATCTGGTGTCTCAGGTTACTCCTGCCGCTTGGTGACACACGGCATGTCCCTCATCATTGTCAACGAGGACTCTCTGGATGTAAGTAGACCCTCCTCTTCCTCCTGCTAACCCCTTTCCACCACATCAGTGTACACCTTGTACAGTACAGCGGCTTGTGTGTGTGTGTGTGCCAGAGGGAGGATGTCACGCGGTGGGGTCTTTAAGCAGGTTACCGTGAGAACCGGGGTGTGGTCCCCAGTCAGATTGGTGGGTGGGGCTCTTTGTGTGTTCACAGGTGCAGGTAATTAAAGTCTCTGATGTCCCCTTGAGAGAAATGGATGAAAAGAAAGAAGTGCTGAGCTATCACTTCTGTCCGTCTTCTTTCTGTCATTTCTATAGGGATTCTCATGTTGTGTTGTGACAACACTGTGACTGATCTATTCCCAGCTAAATGCCAGCAGTATGTACAGATCAGATGTGTTCACGATCCGGTTGCTGTTTACTGTGGGAACTGAGACATTCCCTGTGTCCAGATTAGATTTTTCTTTCTTTTTTTTTTAACTTGCCTTATGTGTTCCTTGCATTCATGTGTGACTGCTTTACCTAAATGACTTGATCTCTGTCATGTGTTCTTGAGTTTCACACAATTTGGTAGAAAACCACAGCTTGTTTCTGTTTTTTTTGTGTTTTTTTTCCACGTCTTTGCTTCTGCTTAAGATGCTGGAGGCCATACCTCATGTTTCAAGCGTCAGCACACCGTTTGCCTGTCTGTCTTTGTTTATGGCTTTGTCTGCCAGTGTCAGTTTGTTGGCCCAGCGCTTGTGTTAAACTTAAATGGAGAGACGTCGGCCCTGAAGTTAATCATTTTCTAGCTTCACAGAAAACGTTGCTCAGTTGGTGGGCATCTCGGTCTCATACACGGTTCATACTGTAACCGTACGAGTTTACAGCGTTATCAGCATGATCCCTTTATGGTTATCAGGGGATCTTATTAGTGGTGTGTGTAGATGGATTTCAATGTGGCCATGATTATAAATTTAAACTGCACCTTCACACACCCTTCTGGATTTTTTATTCATGCCAATCAGGGGAATGCACGCCTTTCACACCTACCAAAGCGGCACCTGGAGGTTTCCAGACCACTAACTGCCGGACAAAACCCAGACAGCGTGCAAAGCCACTTAGGCGCTCAGTAAATTAAGTTGGGCGGGATGAATATTTAACTTAAAGGCAATTAGGGCACTTTAAACCAGCAGATGCTTACACAAGCTGCACAACAGTGTGAAATCCAATACAGTAACTGCAACACACTTATCTTTCTAAACATTTGGACACATCTACTGCCTGATGTGATTATTGATTTCAGCACAGTTTTCTGCCTGTTTGGTGTAGTCACACATACCATTAGAGCAAAAATAAGGTGAGTGCTGTGTTCTGCAGGGATTAACCACTGACATAGATGGCCTCAGAAGCACATCGGAAAAACTGTTTTGTTGCCATAAGCTTTGAGTTTTTGTGGCTCCTTCAATACACCTGAGAAGAAACTTTTTATTTTCTTCTCTTAAAGGAATCTTTTTCAGAGTCTCTGGTACAGTCGAGTGGCTTTAAATGGGCCAGGATGAATGGTGTTTGTCTTCCCTGAAAGGTTCTGTGTTAACGGGGGGACTGGCAATGTAAACAGAAAAAAAGACTGAGGAGCGCGTTGGCTCCAAACTGATCAAGTAAACGGGTTTCTTTTTATCTTCTGGTTGGAACTTACACTCTTAAGATCCAATTGATAACGGCACTGTTCTAGATCTAAACTTGGACGTGGGTAAGAAAGGAGAGAAAGGGTATTCATGTGGTGTTAGCCACGCTTGTTTATCAGGGCGACTTCAGAGAGCACTGGTTGTGACCGACGCAGATGAAAGCCACACCATCTTCAGTTCAACACTTATCTATCGTGCACTTAAAATAACCCTCGCCAGCTTCACTTCTCGACGCATGTGATCATGTTTGAAAGTCCAACCTGCATTTGAGTGAAAGCAGGAGCTGCTTATCGGCATCTCTCCTCAAGGCTGACCTCTTGCTCCCATTTGTATCAGCCACTGTAGCTTAGCTGGCATTGTTTTCAACTTGTGTGTGTGTGAGAGAGAAAGAGAGAGAGATCAAGATATAATGTGATTCTGGAGACGCATAGTGCTGCATATGTCGGTCTCTCTGTGGACAAACGTTATCGACACACAACTGTGTAAGATGGGGTCACAGTTCTTCACAGGTGTTAAAACAGAAGGCAGAGTTGGAGGACGGGTGTGGCACAGGGTTTCTGAGCGCTTGTGCAACGACTGCTGAGCTCCTGCAGGTCTGAGCATCACTGAGTCCACAGGCGTCACTGCTGGTGTGGCGTTCTCACGTTTAAGGATTTGTTTCACATCTTTCACACCCTCAATCTACCGCTATCAGCGCGCAGCCTGGAATGTGTGGCGTGTCCCCCAGTCGGCACTCACCCTGCGGACGCAGTCCCCCCGGAAAGAAAACCTGCTCTATATTCCATGCCCTTCATGCCACTACCTCCTCATGTGTCAACAGGCGCCGTCTGCTGAGGAAGCGACCACACACCCTGCGAGCTTTGTGACAGGAAGAGAAATATGCATCAGACGGAGTTACGAAGAACAGGAACAGGGAGAGAAATATGTCTGTTTATCTCTGTGGAAACACGAGGGTGTGTTTGAGAAAGAAGCGTGCGGTGTTTATTGTACTTAATGTGCGATAAGGCCAATCTGGTAAGAGAGAGAAAGGCTGAAGAGAAGATTTGGCTGACCACCTCGAGGGTGGTGGAGGAGCGGTAAAGCGATGCCCTTGTGGTGCTCCTCCTCACCAAAACAAACCAAGGAGCAATGCGTCCCGGGTAAACGGTGTGCGAGCACCGTAACTGTGATAAGCGCCATCTGTCAGCCTCAGCTCACAAACCTCACACAGACTGAGCGTTGCCCCCGTTCTCCTGAGATACGAGGGCTCCTTGTACCCCGTATCTGTTTGACTCCGCCGTGTCCAAATCTCACAGATTGCACAATGAGGTGGAACGTGGTGGCTCCGGTCAGCTCGAGCGCTCCGATTGTCCATTTAATCAGACTTTCCCACAATCCAACTGCCCTCGTTGTGCTGCCCGCACTACATCCCTTAAACAAACAGCATCTTTCCGCAGGCCATTAATCATCTTTCTGCGCACACACAAACACACAGACACACATTCAGTTGAGCCTGTGCCTGCATGCGTTATTGCTCTCACTGTGGAAATCCACATGTGTGCCTGTGTGTGTGCCTCTGGCCTCGGCAGCAGAGGATGTGGGTGTTTGCACAGATGCGCTGTCTGACAATTAAACGCTATATTAAATCTCACTGGTGACAGAGACTGCACTGTAAGAATGAGCTCGGCTCTCCGCCTTTTTCACTCAGCAGCTCTTCTGTTCGGCTCTGTCAGCTTTTCCCTCCGTCTGGTTCACACTCCTTGCCTTCCTTCTTTCCCCCTTTCTTTGTACTTACTTCTATTTATCTTGCTTAATGCTTTTCTTTGTATATGTTATGCTGTGGAGTTTGGACTAAGGAATAGGTGGCCTGGAAAAGATCAACATTTGGTTTCCCCTATCATCACTGTGTTATACAGTGATATATCAGCAATAGAGAGAGAGGATTGTGTGTGTGTTTCTGTTTCTTTGGGCTAATGTGTTTTATTATAGAATGCAGTGAGAGAAAGTGATCTGTGATATCTCAACCCGCCTCCATAACCCGCCTATTTTCTGATCTAAATATAAGCCTGTGAACATTCCATGCAGTTTGCACATACATGTGTTTTTGAGAGGTCCTGCTTTTTTTAAGTCCAGATGCATACGAAGGATAAACATTTAACTTGGAACCCAAAAGCGTGCCTGCTAATGAGAGCCATCATATTACAGTTGTTGCAATCAAAGCATTTTTTCCCCCTCTGCAATTCCAAAAATAGCATGTCATTTAGCGTGAGAAGTGAAACTGCGCAGTGATGCTATTTTTTATTTTATTTCTTCTCTCAGTAGATCATAGTGGACTAAACCTTGTTTTTCATGTTTAGACACTATTCTTTTGTCTAGAAATCGCTGTTTGGTCAGGGCTTGTTCCGATTGAAGCGGCCGACTTTAAACTGGAAGAGCTGGCCAGTGTTCATACCGTAGTTACGTTCTAAGTCTTCTGTAGCTCTCTGCAGGCTTATCCTGCTTCTTATCCCAGGTTCAGCTCAAGCCTGGTCTGAACCTGCTGTGACAAGTCGCAGTGGTGTTCCAGGACCTCGCTGCATGTGCAGCAAAACCCATTGTGACCAGATATGTGCGCAGGTTCTGAATCACCACAGCGCAGTTAGCAGCTGGGCTGTTATTGCTCTCAGGGCTGTTGTCCATTTTTTGATGACTTTAAAATGGGAAAGGAAATTTATATAAACAGCCTGTGTACACACAGCCCCCTGGAAATTTACATGCCAGGATAAACTCATGCATGTGTGTTATACCTCTATGGAAACTCATGCACCACACACACACACAGACCCATAGCCCCCTTTTGAGGTTAAGAACTCTGACAACCTGTGATCTTCTTTAATCCTTTCATTATGTTTTTGTTTTCCTTTCCCCTGTTTGGGGGAAAAAGTTGAATGCAAACAGGAATTCCGGCACACAAAGAAAAACACACAGCCTCAGGCTGAGAAAACAAGAGCAAGGAATTTTTGGGGCGAGGAGGAACGCCTGTGTGCGGAGGGTACGCATGTGTGCACCGCTATTTGGCAATAAGGAGAGCGGCGGCGCTGTTCACGCGACGTTGTTGCGCACACGTCTGTCTGGTACATGCTGATGCGTTGACTGAGGGGTCACTTCTCTGTGGGTCACCGGTGTCCCTGCAGGTCAGACAGCCGCCAGTAACCCACTGTGACAGACGGAGGAGGCTGTTACTGGCACCGGGTTTTTCTGTCTGGAAGTTGGGTTCTTTTTTTTTTGACCGATGCTCCATAGGTGCTTGTTTGTGTTGCGCTTGATCCTCAAACAGGCACGTTTTTAGATGGAATTTCATTTTGTTTCATTGGATGGATAAAGCAGTCTTTCCATCTGTTTAGCGTTTCAGTGATTTGTTTGGTTTTAGCCTAATTTAATCTCTGAAAAGTCCATTTCTCGTTATTTAATCTGCTTGTTCCGTTTAGAATGTAAAGAATTTACATGAGACTTTTTGTATATCAGAATTCACACAGAGGAAGTAACCCAGATGTGTGTGTGTGTGTGTGTGTGTGTGTGTGTGCATTTGTGGAGACGGCATGATTAAACTCATTGCGTGTCTACTGCTCCACATGGAATTCATTACACCTCCTGTTGGATGTTTATTTTCTCTATTAATCCTTGTTCCTCTATTATCAAGAGCTCCATCAAAATGGCTCCAAACTCCTGCCCTGCAGGCGAGCTGGCATTTAAACAAACACATACGTATATACACCACACACACACACACACACATTGTCAGTCCACCTGAATGATACACTTCACCCATCCTCATCATCACTGACATTTGTCCTCCTTCACTTTCCTTTTTCCCATTTTGTGGTTCATTCGTCCTTCCCTCCCGATTGCTTTTTTTTTTTCCCACTGTCATGTGTCGCAGCGACGGGAAGGAAAGACGGAAGCTTTTACTGCCCAGCTAAACATGCCTTCAAGACCTCACAGCATCAGCACGTCCTGATGATGTCTAGAACAACTGTGAACTTTATATTGGCATCCTTAATTTTGTAGTGTACACAGAAGCAAATTGTTTCCCCGGATGAAAGCAGACGGCGCAGCCATGAACATGTGTCTTCCATTTACTGCCAGGGGCTTTTGACCTTTCAGCAAAGTGCTGTGTGTGTTTTGATGTGTGTGATTTAAAATTTCAACACTGTGTCAGGCAACAATGTTCTCTGAAAAAAACAACATAAAAAACAACTTAAAACCAGAACAATGCGCTCACTTTCAGCGTCAACTGCCTCATTGCAGAAGAGAGTTTTGCCAGATTAAGAGATTGTCCGCAGTTGGTGTTTCTCACTAATCCTTTTAACCCTGTAATGCCGTATGTATCCTATTTGATACATACAGTTTCTGAACTGCTTTGCATCTGAGACATTTTACATCATTTAGTGACAACAATTTCCTGAAGACCCTGTAGTACACAATCAGATTTATCTGATAACAGCAGGCAGAAGACTTATTGCATAGTAATAAATGACGAATATTCAAGAAAAAATACAGTTTCTTACAGAGCCAAATAAATACTTAAAAGAAAAAAAATTCTCTCTATTTTTTCTTGGATCAGGCTTAAAATAGTTAAGCACTTAGAATACACTTTTGACCAAAGATAACTGTAGAGATGATGTCAAAGAGGGGTCTGTAAGAAAAGGAAACTTTTCTAATCAGGGAAAAATACCATCTTCCCCTCTGTGTGTTTGTCTTCTTGCAGGCTACTCGTGCCACGCTCACGGCTCACTGTTCGTCCCTGGGTGACTCTCTGAGGAAAGAAAATGAGCTCGCACTCATCATTGATGGCCAGACGCTGAAATATGCCCTGTCCTTTGAGCTCCGTCAAGTCTTCCTCGACTTGGCGCTGTCGTGCAAAGCTGTGATCTGTTGCAGGTAAGGAGGCATCTCTCATCCTGTACACGCATCACAAAAACTGCAGGCGCCTGATGGGGCAGGCATTTTCTCTTTATTCAATTATACACTGCAGTCATCCTCAGATAAAGGTGAGTGTCTATAAAACGAAACAGGTGGAAGTCTAGGCTCATTGTTTGCAAAGAAATTATAGACTCAGAAACAAATGGGCCTTGCACCGTGCACATGCTCAATATCCTCTTGCCTCTTTTTGTAAAAAACTGTAGAAGAAGTACAATTCACGGTGCTTCTGTTCAAGAATTCAATTCTTTGTTCACCATGAGTGCTGAGATGAGAACGGGGGTCCGGTGAAAGGGTTGGCACATATGCATGTCGTGATTCCGTGAGATTCTCTTAACTGCTTTGAGCATAATAACTTTTAAATCCACAACGGTTGACGGTTGCAAGGTTTGTTGGTTGTCCAAAGTGAATGAGGTTTGCAAAAGCCTTTGTTGTTGCACCGTAAGAACACAGTAATAACAAAAACAACCCTGCACCGACTGGAAACTTCTAATTCATGCCTCACCTGCTGCTGGTGCCACCAGAGTGGGCACAAAAAGGCACAGGGACATTTTACAGTCACATTTATACAAAGCACACCCCGTTCACAGCCTGTTTATTGCGCATTTCCTTTTTTGGTCATGTTCCAGTCACGACCAGTTGTAATGTTTAACAAAAGATTTTTCCACTTGTCTTTTGATGTGTGCGGGCGTGTGTGTGTGTGAGTGTGTGTGTGAGTGTGTGTGTGTGTAGCCAGGAGGGACGTAACCAAGTCTCTCCTGAACATTCAAACAGTATCCGGGCTCAGGTCTCACAGGCCTTGCAAAGAGCCTCCAGCTTCCTCTCCTCTGTCCTTTTTCGGTTCACATCCCCTCTTCCTAACTCTTTGTAGATCGGAGATCATTTCTAACACTCAAATCACTAGTGGCAGGTTTAATTGAGCATTCGTGGGTTTTGGATCAAATTCAGTAGAGTACTTAGTATTTTATACATATATATTTTGAAAATAAGGAAAAAACTTTCTTCTTTTATCTCTCAATAAAAAGTAACGTCTTATTAAAAGTTAGCTTTGAAACATTTCAGGATCCGAGGTGCTCCTAACCATTCATTTGAAATAATCATTGGATGTCTGAAGATGTGCTTTTAGAGATGTTATTACAGTCACAATGATCAGAGAAGAGTGAAAAATGTTGCTCATTTTGTCATGTTTTCTTTCCCTATAATCAATCTAATGAGCTTTCAGCTTTTTCTTATGACCTTCTGGGAGGTCCCGTCCCCAACTCTGGGTTCTCGATGATTCCTTTTAATGAGCTGGTATGTAGCTGTGTGTTCATACCTGTATAATAAAGGACATAGCCTTAACTTCTAAAGTCACCCCCAAAGATGGCTGCATTTCTCACCTTCCCTGTGTTTGTGGGTTACAAAGTGTGTGCGTGTTGTGTGAGTGTGTCTCAGGGGGCGGTGGAGTGGAGCACACTCGTACGCATGGGTTCCCGACTTCACTGTGCGTTTGTTTATAGGAGGACTTAGCGGCTGCTTATTTTCTGCTCAGCTCCACCGTGAAGAGCACTGGGAGCCTTTCATCTCTGCAGCCCCACTCTGCACAGTCCCCAACACTGTTAGCTGTGTGCGGAGAGGAATGGTAGGGGCAGAGATGTGGAGGGATTTGTGGTTGGAGGCCAAGAGTCGTTGGGGCAGACGCAGTCGCGCACACTTCATACACAGAAAACAAAGAGCACAGGTTGATCCCACCCCCCCAGTGAAGACTTCAGAGGCCAAAACTCTGAATGTTTACCCTGCTGACACGTGCATGTGTAGATTTCTGATTTTGAAGACTTGTTTCTCCCTGTTTCCAGCCCAAACACAACCTAAACTCACCCTGCTTATGCATTCAATGAAGATGGATCATGATCACTTTTGAGCTCCTGTGTTTGTGTGTGTGTGTGTTTGTGTGTTTGAGAAAGGTCATACATTTGCTCATAATTAAATTTGGTCATAGTATCATCTAGTTTTGTTCCATTTTCATGTGATTGCTCACGCAGCTGTTCATAATCGAATTTTGTAATGTCATTATCTCAGCGCTCTAGGACATGGTGAGGTTTCACCCCTCATTCTGAGCTCCATGAGTTCCACTTATACTCACAGTCTCCCCATAGCTCCTCCCTATTGGAGGCAGTGTTTAAAGTATTGGCAGCGCTTTAAGTCCTGTGTTGATACTCACATCATTATCACTTCATGCATCACCAGGGCACAGGTAATTACTATAATCAGGGAAATGCTGTCTAAATATTTAATATCTGGCTACGGGTAAATATCCGGGAACAAAACCGACAGCTGCTTAAATGATCTCTGAAGCTGGCGGCTCCCACATTTGGAAAGAAAAAAATCAGTCTGTCCAGCTTTTTAGAAGCAAAAAATTCTCCAAGTGAGGACAAGTAATGTTTGGACCTGCTAAATTAATACCACAATCCATTTAACATCAAATCTCAGAGCTTTAAAATTTCCTTTAGTTGCACACAAGCTTCTATGCTTGCATGTGCTGTGCTGTGGGAAGTATAGCTCGCTGTGTCGCAAAGCCTTAATCCCAGTCCCAGGATCAGCTCTCTCTCTTGTGTTCTTCTTTGGACACATTTGTTTCCACTGTATGGTTTGTTGCTAGTAATTACGAGACTCACGAGAGCTGTGAGCGCGTACATATGACTGAGACGCTGTGAAAATAACGCCTCATCCGAAGCGTGTTTTGCAAACAGAGATAAAGACAAGCTTGGTCTCAGTAGCTTCTACCAACGTTTGAACTCAAAAACAGAGTGTGGGACTTTTCCCAAGAAACTCCTCCAAAGATAAAAAACAATAATGTTATAACAATCATGTAACATGCCTCTGACTGTACTATAAACTGTTTTGTAAATGTGGAAGTTTTGAGGAAAAGAAATGTTGTTGGCCTGGGAAGCTCTAAAGATGCGGTTTGATGTATTGGTGCATCATAAGAAAGAAAGGAGAAAAAAACGCTGTAATTGGATCAAAAACTTGCATCAAGCTATTTGGACAATTGTCTCGGTGAGTGATCACATTTAACTGAATCACATTAAAAAAATGAGGGCCTTTTAGAAGATGCTTCACTTGTCTGCTTCCAGTGAAAGGTGAGATAAAAACAGCATTAAAAAAACCCTCCGCCACATGAGACCAGTGCAGTTTTGGAATTTTTAGATTAAAAAAAAAAACTTCCTTCGTTTATCCACCAGTGAGCTACAGCTTAAAAAGAAAAGCAAACTTACCTCCTCTACTTAAGCTAATGCAACATTGCATTTCACCGTCCCCTCTCAGTGGCCTTGAGGGAAGCGTCTGTAATCGAGCCTCTCCTGGTCCTCCATTGTTTGTGAAGAGACAGAACCGGTTACAGACAGAGGATCGGTGGTAAGGGTCAAGAGGGTGGAGTACCCCTGCGAGCTCCCTAAACGCATACATGCCGAGGTACCCTCTGATACAGTCAGCCATGCAAAAATCCACCTAAACATGCGCTCACATGTGGGTAAACATAAAAAGTGAGCTTTACTAAACCTTATTAGCCCAACAGTGAATCATTGTTTTCCAGACTAGCAAGCAGCTCTTTAATGTGTTTGTCTCCCATCAATCTCTTCTTTTTTTTTCTTCCTTTCAGCTGTTTCAGTTTCCCAGGCTTTGTTTGTTCTAATGGCTAATGTATTTATGACTTACTTTCTTACTTCCTCGAGACATTCTTTAATCCCCCTATCTTCTCCCTGCCTCTAATTTCCTCCCGGTGCAGGCAGCTGCACGCATTTAATATCAAACCAACTGTCTCCATCTGTTCACTGCAGAGTGTCTCCCCTACAAAAGTCAGAGATTGTGGACATGGTGAAGAAGCATGTGAAAGCCATCACGCTGGCCATAGGCGACGGTGCCAACGATGTGGGGATGATTCAGACCGCTCATGTCGGAGTGGGAATCAGCGGCAACGAGGGCATGCAGGCCACCAATTCTTCAGACTACTCCATAGCACAGGTGGGAGCGGACATAGTTTGCACGCCACAGGTCCTACAGAAATGCTCCAGGCTTTAACATGGGTCTTTAAATTGTCAGGTTATGTCTATGAGTATAATATACATAATCATCAGACACACAGGAACACATAATGCACCACGATCCTGAGCAAGTAGAGCAGAAACAGGAATAGTGACAAAGGGGCGCTCCTGACTTCTGAAACGGGCCGTAAACCTGCTCAACCTCGTGCTCAGGATTCATAGAGTGTTTGCTCTGGTCATGGAGGGAATTCATGTCCTGCGACAACAAACATCCCCCTCCCCCCAAAAACAAAATCACTAGAGGGACACAATAGTAAATCTGACAATCCACAAGGTTAAAGATCTGTTCTAATGATCCTCCAGCTTCCCCCAACTGACCTTAGATCAGCAGTTAGAGCATTCCCAGCTCACCCTCACTACTGTATGTATACCATGTATGTCTGGTCCGTTCGGCATTTATTTATCTTTCTTAGATAATGGCACAGTTTAGATGAGTTTGGAATTTGGAATGCAGGTTTGTTTGGACACCTCACAGAATTTTCTTTAAGCGCTGAGTCATGTCTGCCTTCTATTCACTTGATCCTGATCTTTAACCCTACCTCAGGGGGAATGTATGAAAGAAGAGCTCACATACAAGTTTCCATGGAGCATTATGTTGTCAATGTGAAGACGCTCCACACCACAAGCATCAACAGTTTCAAATATTTGAGCTTGTGTAGATAGAAGTATTTTAAAACCGACATATTTTCTCTCTTGCTGTTATTGTTTTTGGCAGTTTGCAGTTCCAGTGCTGTGCAAATTCAGCGAGCAAAAGACAAACTTACTTTTGGGCGAAATAAAGTTATAGATAAAGCATTAATGTAGCATATTAAATGAGGTTAATATTGCTCAGAGCAAACGAGAATGACCAGAAAAAAATAGATCTGCGTGTTTGGACCCCATTTTGCTTGTTGAAGCAATAACTTAGTCAAACAAGATTTTTTAGGAGAGGAGAAGGGTAAATGTCTCAAAACTAATTTGATGACCACAGAGCAGAGGAACATTTTGCATTTACAGGTTATGACACCAGTCATTTGTTAAGTAAAAACTCTTTATTCTGACATTGTTTGTTTTAAATAAAAGATTAATTTTGAGTTTGTTCTATTTTATCATATAATGATAGCTGTTATTCCTGATGATGAGTCCTGTGTTTACCTCATGTATCCACTTGTCGAGCAGATCATTTCTGCTCCCATCCTCCTCTTGATTTTAATTTTTCTCTTCAGAGAATAGAAATTTCTGTTTGTTTCCTCTCTTCTTCTATGGTGCCCAGTTCTCCTACCTGGAGAAACTCCTGTTGGTGCATGGAGCATGGAGCTACAACCGGGTCACAAAGTGCATCCTCTACTGTTTCTATAAGAATGTGGTACTCTACATAATAGAGGTAAGAGCCCCACCACCACACCCTGTCTGCTTTGTACACACACACACACACACACACACACAGACACACACACACACACAGACACACACACACACACACACACACACAAAGTTACATTAAGACGTTTTGCAGCTGTTTGTCGAGGTGGCTGACACTGATAGACGAGGTGCCCTTCTGGTGTCTGCTTTCTGTCTCCTTTATACACATACACACGCATGTATATATACACTCACACATAAAAGTGTCTTTAGATCAGCAGTGACGAGACCTTGGCCCTTGAGCTCAGCTGCTGTGTGTGCGTGTACTTGAATTACACGTAATATACGAATGATTCTTTCTGCCTATTGGGGAAAAAAACAATCCCCAGACCATAAATCATACCATTTAAGATGAAAACTTGGTTTAGGGTTCTTGGAACAGTTAATGGAAATCTAGAAGTAGAGACTAAGCCCCCTTGAAAAAAAAAGACTATTGTCCTATGAAGATGGAGACTGGCCTGCCTATTATAGCGGGCATTTGTCAGCTGTGAAACTCCCACCCCCCCACTACCTCACTCCTCACTGTGATGTTAAGGATGCCAGCAGGTGCTGGTCCTCATGGGAGCTGCAGCCTGTGGTCCTCAGTCCCCCTAACCCCACCGCTCTGTCCCTGTATGTAAATATATGTGCCTCCCTGATTATCTCATATTATGGGCTTCCAGCAGAGCCCTTTAGGCCAAAGGTCAGACTGTCTCTGTCCACTTAGTGGAGACGGTAAGAGGGGGTTGGGTGCATGTGGGAGAAAAAGACTGTGTGTGCATGTCTGACCTCACCCCTAGGCTGTATGCTCCACTGTATGCCCCAGGAATGCCACAACTCCCATCAGCGGCCCCAAACATTTTCTCTATCTGTCCTCGGATCAGCTTGTGTCTGCTGTTTGTGTGTGTACGTGTGGGAGGGGTACGGCGGGGTCAGTGTGCACGCATCAAGGCGACTTAATGAATGCGAACATAAGGGGAAAGTCATATTAGATACTGGTTGCTATTAATACACTCATTAAAGTCAGAAAACGGTGTCTGAGAGGGCCCCTTTACTAAGAGCACATTAAAAACTTCATGATGGCTAATGGAACTGAGAGTTAAGCTCTATTACACAAAGATGTTTTTATATTTTTGTTCAGTCTTTTATTTCGCAAATATTCTCGTGTGTCCGTATTATTGCTGGAACAAGGCTGACATTTGTCCATCTCTTCCTGCTGTTTCCACTATCAGTGCCCCCCTAAGGCAGTTTTACCCTCTGCTATTGTTCCTCTCATCCCTCTCTTTGTGCCCCAGCTCTGGTTTGCCTTTGTGAATGGGTTCTCCGGCCAGATCCTTTTTGAGCGCTGGTGTATAGGCCTCTACAACGTGGTGAGAATCCGCATTCACTACCTCTCAAACACATCTCACTCCTTTATATTTCTCTACCCTCCCTCAGTCTCATGCCCTGGCTTACATCTCCTTTGCTCTCTACCAATTTCTATGTGAATATTATTTACTTTTTCCTTGTTATCAATATTTCTGTCTGTTCTGGTTTGTCCTTTATGTATTTTACATCTGTCTGCAGATGCCTTCAGTCTCTTCGGTTTTCAAACATCATGAAATTACTTTTTTGTGCTGACAATCTGATAAGAGCAAAGACAGTGCGGCTAAACAAAGTGTGGGCCCATGTGCCTTTTGTGGGTTTTTAATGGCTGCCTGTTTATGTTGGGTGTGCTGCAGATATTTACGGCACTACCTCCGTTTACACTGGGGATTGTTGATCGGCCGTGCAGCCAGCAGAACATGCTCCGCTTCCCGCAGCTCTACCGAATAACCCAGAATGCCGAGGGTTTCAACACCAAGGTATTTGTGCGCACATTTACAGTCCACACATACACACAAAAAAAAAATCTGAAATCGGCCATCTTTGTCCTCTTCCTTCAATTTGCGGCCGTTTGGGGTTTGATGAGTGATGCCGGGTGTTTGTTTGGGACTGCAGTGGGTAAACAGGGGTGGCATGGAGGCTGGGATGTTTCCATGACAACTCATAATGAGATGCACAGCACCAGAATAAGGAGGGCTTTCATTTTGACTACTGTACGTGCGCGAGTGTGTGCTAATATGCGTGCATACTGTACAGGGGGGAGCTTTTGATGGCACTAAAACAGAGGAAGTTGTGTGTTACTGTGAAAAAGTTGTTCATGTGTGCGGGGGCACGAATATGCTTTGGCTTTAGTTTGCACTAACTTGCTTTCCACTATTTCTCCCCCCTCTTTGCTTTCCTCTCAGGTGTTTTGGGGACACTGTATCAATGCACTGATTCATTCAATTATCCTATTTTGGTTTCCTCTTAAAATGTTAGAACATGGTAAGTGACTTATTCCAGCAGTTCTTTACCATTCGTTAATTTTATGTGACACTCACAAAACTGTGTGTGTGTGTTTTCCTCAGACTCCCCCTTCAGTAATGGTCAGGGAAACGACTATCTGTTTGCAGGAAATATGGTCTACACAGTAAGCATCATTCTTGTATTTTCTGAATGCAGATATTTTCTGTGCACGGCTCTTTTCACACCATCACTGTACTCCTTCCACTGAGCCCCCTGGAGTCTCCAGTCAATCTTGTCTCGTCTAGCCAGTCTGTCTCCTGTCCCCACACACATTCATCTCCTCTCTTTCCACCCCTCTATCTCACACTCTGGCTATCGTTTTACTCCCTACAGTCTGACAAGAAAATCTGTGGTATTTATTATTTGTTGTGCTACGCTTTCAGACATTTCGGGGTTTATTGTATGACATTAATGTTTATGATCTCCACAGTCACCAGAGAACTAATCCAGCGCGCCTCTCTCTCTCTCTCTTTTTTCCCCCCACCCGCTCATCTCCTTCTGTGTGTATGTGTTTGCAGTATGTGGTAGTTACAGTATGTCTGAAAGCTGGAATGGAGACCACCGCGTGGACCAGAGTAAGAACATTAATTCCCTCTTCATAAACCACATGTGCTGTGTTTTACCACTGATAAATAAAGGTGGAGGGGGGTTCTCCAAGAATTCTTTGTGTAAATGCTTGAGAGGCTAAAAAGGCATGGGAAAAGATGTGGCGTACCTTGATCTTGTGGCAGAGATTTGAGGTTTCTCAAACTTCTTTTGCTTGCAACGTTTCTTCCAACCAGCTCATGGTGGGTGTTTTCTCTCCCTGCTACCCAGCATTGTTTAAACAGATATCCATGAGCAAAAATAAAAGTCTGAAAAACCTCCAAACGATGATATATTAACACGTCCTGAACCATTCAAATTAATCGACAGGATTTACTGGGAAGCAGCTGCGAGAACTGCTAAATATGCTTTGAGAGATTAATCTTACGAGGAGCAAATGGACATCGTAGCTGCTCAAGCAGAGCATAGCAAAAGAGAAAAACAGACCTGAAGGCGGTTCGATTACAATCTGTTAGTTTGATATCAAATACAGAAACATATGAGCGAAACAGCTCACATTTAACCGTTAACTAAAAGCCCAGATGTCTTCCAGCTTTCGAAAGAATGTTTTACTCGGGACGTGAAAAATGTTTCACACTCCTATGTGGTTTTAGATCATTTATATCACAAAGGTTCAGTGATTGATTAGATTGTTTTAATTATCAGTTCATAATTTAAGACATTTGTCATAAAATTACTGAACATTGTCTTTCCTGTATTCAGATTTTTTCATATCAAACAGTTACACGTCAGGATATGGAGGAACAAACTAGGGTTGGATCAATCATAGAAGACAGTTTTATTATTAACTTTATATTCTTTTACAAGACAGAATTGTCTCTGAGGTCAGACTTGATAAGCAGTTTGTTCTAAAAACAAAAAAAGAATCTAATCCTTCCCATAAAACCTACAGTCTTTATTTCAGCATGTATGAAAATCTCCCGGTTTGCGTGTACACAGTTTGCCTGACTAGGGCATGCAGCAAAATAATAACCGGGAATTATCCGGAAATCAGAAGATATGAGCTGGAGACGTCTGAAAGAAGAATTAATAAACAAAACTAAGGATCCGGCTAAGTGTGTGGTTTCAGCTTTCAGTCCTGAAACAACATCAGCTGAAGTGGATGTAGAGTTTAGGAAAACAGTGGCTCAAGTGGTGACAGCCGCATTGTTGGGTTTATACCCACCGCTGGAGTGACAGAGACCGGCAGGATAGACAGATAGCGCTGACACCTTTGTCCGTTCAGCTGTCACACAACAGTCAGGCAGTAATGAAGCCAGGTCTCACAGGAATTCACACAGTGTCCCCTTACAGCAGATCACAGAGAGGGATGAAGACAAGAGAAAGAGGGGAGGGAAAGGTTTTCTATATTCAGATTAAATGAATGTCAGCTATTTGACCTTGTGCCATCTTGTCTTTTTTTGTCACTCTTTTGTTCTTGATTTTCTTGACCCTGGTTTCTCTTATGCTGTAGTTTTCACACCTGGCCGTGTGGGGAAGCATAACGCTCTGGATGGTCTTCTTTGCTGTCTACTCTGCCATCTGGCCCACCATCCCCATTGCCCCCGACATGCTGGGCCAGGCAAGTGGCTCTCTGTAAACACGTGTCATTCATTTCAGCGGCGGGAGCGTTTGGGCTTGTCGTATTCCCTCCCTCTCCCTGTCTTTTTTCTGCATCGTTACAACCACTCCCTGACTGCTGGCTGCTGTTACACGCCGTCTATGATACTCACCTCTTGGGTGTTCCCTGTCGGCACTGTCGGCGTCCCGGGGGGTGGGGGGGTGGGGGGGTGGTTCTGCCCATGCAACCCCCCCCTCAGCTGGCTTCCCACACCTGCTGCGTGTCACCCGAACCCCGGTGTTTTACTGCCCTCTGTGGAGGTGTTGACTCAAAAGGGCGGGCTGCTGTTAGCGGTGATGAGCCTCTGCGGGGGGTGGAGGGGATGGAGCTTGTGGGAAGTCCTGATTGAGAAACTCATTTTAGTATTTAGGGGATAAATGTTGGTGGGATGAGGTGCCCTACTGAGTGAGCACCGGAAGGAATAAGGCCATCACAACTCCCCCTCTAGCCCCCCACCCCTCCCAGCCCATTAATTCAATTTGTGTCAGAAATCAGGAATGCGGTCAAATATCTCCGCAGCTGCTCGGTCTGGGGTATGGTCCGAGACGGCTCCAAACCCTACCCCTCCACCCTCCATCAACCCCCCTAACAACCCTATTACCTCTCTTATTTCCCCTGCTCCTGCTATCTATATTCCCATCTCCCCAGGGGGGGACACAAGCTGGAAAAAGGCTGCATAGCCCTGCTCAGAATCACCTTGGTGACTACACAGGGGAGGAGACTAACTGTGATTCTATGGCCATAACAAAACACGGAAAACTATTTATCCCGGTTCTTCCATCCTTGGCATGTGACATGCTCCGTTTCCAGAGCTGCACAAGTGCGCCATGTGCCTCTGCGTGTGTGTGTGTAGGTGTTTTGTCACAGAGACAGACATTTTGCTGTCTGACTCGTTTTACTTGTTAACCTCCTCTCCCGGGAATCAATTTTTCTGTTTGGAAGAACAGAAGACAGGAAACACGTGATATGGGTGATTAATTAGTAGAATTCATGGTGCCATTAAGTCAAACATCGACGCTAAGACACAAAGGGTTGGCCTTGTGAAAGACCACAAAGCTCTCGAAGCGAGCCACTTTGTCACTTTGTTTGGTAAGAAGGAGAAAAGTCTGGGATTATCAGGAACAGGTGAGAACAAGCAGCAGAGGCAAGAGTCACCAACAATGAAAGAAAGTTGTGTAAGGGTGAGATTGAAGGGAATCTCAGGAGAAAGACGAGTGGGAGTGAGAAACAGGGAGAGACAGGCTGACAAACCGAGACAGTGGTTAGGCACATGATTAATCCCGGGAGACAGAACCAGAATGGGGTCATAGGTCAATGAGCCGAGTTGCAGCTGGACTGCGCAGACAGGTAGGAAGGGGGTGGAAGTGGTCGGTGGGGTGGGGTAGGGTAGGGGGGGGTCTGTGTTTACTCACTTGCATTTTTATCACCGTGCACCACAGAAGCGCTGCATTTATGACATGGGAACAGTCTAGTTTCTAGTGCCGATACAGGATGTGAGAAAGTAAAGAAATATGTTTGGCTGAGATTGGGGGGGGGAGTCGTTCAACTTTGGCTAACTTTCCCTCCCCATCCCTCGTTAGTCTTCCGCTCCTCTTTGACTCCCATTTCTATTTCCGTTTTAGCCTTTGCCACATGCGGTAGTTAAACTGTGCTCATTAGTGGAGAAATGGCTCCATGCTAGGTCTGAATTCATAGGCGAGCGAAAACAAACCGCCTGTGTTGTCACTGCAGGCTGGCCGGGTGATGCAGTGCTGGCACTTCTGGCTGGGCCTGGTCCTGGTGCCCACTGCGTGTTTACTCAAAGATTTTGCTTGGACTGCGTAAGTAGAACACAATTAATATAAATACGTTGAAAATCCATGTGGCGACTGTTTAACTTAACCGAATGGTTTACACAGCCCATATCGAGTCTGTGTCAACACTTACGCACTCTTTATGTTATGAGTCGCACATGTCTGCAAAGTCCAACACTCAGACTTTCCGTCATGGTTCTGCTGAACTTATTTGCGCTCTGCAGCACACGTCGCACAGTGAGGAAGTCCCTGCTGGAGGAGGTGCAGGAGCTGGAGGCGCGGGCCGTTGATCCAGGGGCAGCTGTGCTGAGGGACGCCAGCGGTCGCAGGTACGCCACATCTGCAAAGCATCATGGGATCTCGCCAGCATTTACACTTACTGTTGTATCGTAATCCACGTTTTTTTTTTCTTTAGCTTCTTTTTCTGTTCGTGAAATTGATGTTATCCCTTTGACTAATATAAAGTAGTCTCCAAATTCGTTTTTATTGCAGCTGAGCCATTCCCAACTGTCGTTGTCATGAATTGTTCAGGTTCTCTTTCTGAGTGAAACTCTATCCGTGTCAACTGTGGCACTGTTCACAGGGCCCAAGACAAGGCTGAGGTCCCCTAGAGGCAGAGCTGCTCTGCAGAGGTAGTCTCTGGGTTTGTGATGTCCCACTGTGTGACCTCTGGCCTCTAATCACTTGCCCCATTTCAGTCTGCTTTTGAGTGACACATGCATGGTTTTCATGCCCTGAGTTCAGATTTCTTACTCCTTATCTCTCAATCTCATCTCTTGTCTTGTGTTGATAGATTTGAAAAGCAATTAACCATTCCTCTGGATTTCTTCTCAGGTGGACCAATTTGAACTGCTTTAAAGACGTGGTGTGTTCACTGACTTGGTCTTCTCTGTGGTGTTAGTAGAGTTGTGTTAGAACAAATTGGTTGTTGGATTAGTATGTGAAAATCAGTAGACGCAGTGTGTGCAGTAGAACAGTGTTCGTATAGATTTTTTTTCTGTATCCTTTGCTGGACGATAATGTTTTTTTTTTTAAAGTTTAATGTATTTATCTAATTATACTAAAAAGAATTAGCCTAGATAATTGACACTATTTAATTGCTTTTAGACATAATTTCTTACCGTGAAACAGTTGATTAAATCACCTTTCACACAGCATTTACAGTTGTTAAAATCAACACTATGACAAGTTCATACGATGGTTAAACTGCAAGTAGGGTGACTGGCTGCTACTTGTAGTGAAGATGGTGACCGATAAGTGGATGCCAATTCAGCTCTCGTACGAATGACCTTATCCTGCACTGAACCTGCTTTAAAAGCACGGGTGTCAGAACCACATCCTTGCACCCCCTCTCTATTTCAAATCAGATGGAAAGTAAGGGTGGGCAGAGACGCATGGAGTTGAATGGGGGGGAGGAAAAATAACATCTGTGTTTGCAGTTCCTGAGTAGTTCTTGGCACATGGCGTGAGGTACAGTACAGGATTCTCTCAGAGGAGGAATTCTAGCGGAGAACATCCTTGAGCTCTCTTTGAGTCAGCGGGTACTCCAGGAGAGACATCACAGTAGGAGAGAGGACAGCTTGGGTCATATTGATGCACAAGCTGTTTATGCATTTTTCTATTCGCTTTAGTCTTTTATCATTCACGCTGCCCTGTCATCTATCTAACAGGCATTAGTTTTCGGGACCAAAGACCAAAAGCTCTTTATTTTTTCCACAATTTTCTTTTTTCACAAAAACTCAAGAGGATTCTCAACAGTCGTATTTATTGTTAGAGTTTCCAAACTGCTTGGTCCTAATGTCAGCCTTGGGAACGCTGGCTCCAGTTCATAACCTGTCCACTGATCGTTATCGCTGCACAGCGGAGCACAAGTGCTGCGGAAAACCATCAGTTTAATGCTACACTGGAAAAATATTGGTGCAAGTTGCCCTCTGACAAATAATCCTGGCGTGGTCGCCGGTGTCTTTACGTTTACCTCCAACATTTGTGCCTTAATGGCGCCGATTACTGGGATGAGATGGGAAGAAAATTCACAAGTGAGATAAATCTATGTGCATTTGTGTGGAATTTGTGGAAAGGACTTAGTTATATTTGGTCACGGGGGAGAGGAGCCGTGACGGCGTGTGGTCTTAGAACAGAGGACCCACTCTTCTTGTTGGGAAGGGGGGGGGGTTATGAGGAGAGGAGAGAGGGAGTGGCCAGAGGGGCGAGGAATAGTTTACTGTGGATGGCCTGTTACTCTGCAGGCGGTCCGCGGCCCACTGTTGAGCTGAATTAAATGTTAGAAGCAGTCAGTGTCAAAGCCACCCCCCTCTGCTCCTAAATTCACTTAGGTTTTGTTGACTTGTTAATCAGTATGTTATCATGTTGATCCCTGTCGCAGAAGTTTATTTCTTCTGGTAATGGGCAGTTTGTGTCTCTGGGACGTTTATGCATTTTCACATTACCAACTGACACACGTCTCTGTCAGACCAGCAGTTTAAAGACAGAAATATTCGGCACATAGTGGAAGATCCACTTCATGATAGCTTGCAATGGTTTTGAGTAGTTTTCATTCTTTTGACCTATCATTTGATATTTCTGGGCGCTCTGAGCTGTGTTGTAACTGTCCCTCCCTTCCTCTTCTTGCAGTCTAAACGAACGAGCCCATCTGCTGACAAGAGTATTTAGGAAAACTCCTTCAAGTGTAGGACGCTCAAACTCGGTGCAGCAGACCGTGTCACGTGAGTGCTCTTGCAACACAGGCACACAAGAATGTTATCGAAACCTTTTCTCCACACAGGCCTTAATTTAATCATTTAGGCAAGTCATGAGGGGAACTCCAGTAGTTTTCGTGTTGCTTTCCCCCATTTTACACTCTGTACAGGAAGTAAAGAGCCCATGTTTACCGTGGCAACATTTGCATGTCTTGCAGAAAATGTAATTTATCTCTTGTTTTGAACAGTTAAAGTGACCCTAGAATTTATAAAAAGCTTTGATATTGTAGCTAAAAGTCTGTATTGTTCTAAAATATTGTTCAATATGTCCAAAGCATTTACAGCATTAGGTAACTCATAAAAACAAACAGGATATTACTTAGCAATAAAGTTTTAAAAAGACACTGTCCAGTTTAGTGTCTGATATTTATTTTTCTTCTGCATCTCTACAGATGGCTATGCCTTCTCTCAGGAGGAGCACGGCGTGGTGTCCCAGTCCCAGGTAGTCCGTTCCTACGACACCACCCGCCAGCGCCCCAGCGTCTAGCCCCTCCCCGGTCAAGGCTTTGGCTCACCGTAGCAAAGGTTGTCAAGGCGACAGTGGAGACGGACTACAGTTATACCCTCGGGCTGGGTGACCAACCCTCGCTGTGGCCTTACGTGAACAATGACGTGACCCCTCACCGGGACAGAGTGGGGTGGGGAGTCACGGTCGAGTCTGAAGGCCGTCGCTTCCAAACGGAGGGCTGTGAGTCGGGAGAAGGGACCAGGCCAAATACAGGACAATGAAAGCCACAAACGCTGCACCGGCATGGGCAATCATCTCCACAGACAGACGTGCCAGGTCCAACTCAGAGACTGCTCCTGGGGCCGGTATACCATCAGACTGGGTTTGCTTCATGCCACTGTGTGTCGGTGTGTGTCTGCTTGCGTGTGTGTGAGAGAGAGAGAGCTTTGCAGTGCGTCTGTATCTGCCTGTGCATGTGTGTCTGCACGCATTGGCGCTCCTGTGTTAGTGTGCATGTGCGTATCTGTCTATGTGTCTTCGCTTCAAAGGTTACCTCTCATCTCCCTCTCACGAGGGTTCGGGTCATCTGTCATCACATGCCGCCGCGGAGAGGGACGTCAACATGAAACCTGCACACGCACACACTCGCACATTTAGCCACAGGTTGAATTCCTGAAAAGGGGTAGGAGGGGAATGACCCGCTGGAGCCCCGCTTCTAAGCTACAGGCCCCCCCCACCCCCTCCCTCCATCGCAGCATAGAGCCTCACTGCCAAAACACCAGGAAAACGCCACTGAGGCAGAACTCTCACCCCGAGCCGGACCACCGCAGCCCCTCCTACCCCTCTGGGACCTCTTCCTGGCTATCTCGTCCCTCGTTTCTTTCTTATCTCTGCATCTCATAGCCGCTCTGCAGCCTCCATGTCTTTCTCTCGTTGGAGCACATCTCCTCTCTCTCAACAGTCTGAATGACCTTTCTTGTTTTTATATTTTCCTGTGACTCATGATGCTGCCATCTACCATCGTCAGCTGATGTAGAACCAACATACATGGCATTAACACTTCCTCCCCCAGCTCTGTTGGATTTCCAGTCTGTACAGGGCTTTTTCTTTTTTTTAATTAAAAGTGGACATTAACATGTATATGTTTTTATTTTTATTTCTTGTCATCAATGTCTTTTTTTGTACTCATGTGTGGAGGCATGTTTTAGAGGGAAACTTTTACTTGAACTACCCCTAACAGGCATCCAAACAGAAGGGATTTGATTGAAACACTCGCACTGATCATGTGTTTCTCTGGCTCTGGGATTTGTCTGAATGTAGAGTCCATTGTCTGTGTGCTCTGTGTTGAGGACACTCTGGTTTAGGAATGCAAGACTGAGGGGTTTGGGGGAGGGGGGGGTGTCCATTTGAGTCTTAATCATTAAATCTAATCAATCCATGGCCTGAAAAATGTCTTTGTGTTTTGATTCTCAGCTCAGTACTCATACAGTGAAGTAGGAGGATTTGAGTTCAACTGTCGCTCCAGGGGAGCTGGAGGAGTTTGGTTGACATTTCATGCTGAAAATAAAGATGGAAAAACATTTGGAGCTGGATGATTTGACATGAAATGCATATGATTTTATATATTAACAGGGGTAAAACCTCTCCCACGCTCCTCCTTTAAGCCCAGGAGAGTTGGTTTAGACGGGCCATTAGAAGATTGCTCCCCATCAAGTGGAGATCCCTCTCCCACCCACCTTCCTGAATGCGGCCCAGCCCAAACCAGCCACAGCTGCAGCAGTATGGAGAACCCATCGTTCAGGATAAGAGCTGGAGAGCCATTTCTGCTTTTAGGCTTCTCCCGAGTGACTCTTCAGTGGTCCTCACCGCTTTCCACATTACTGTAACTGAACCTCCGGAAGATCCTGCCAAAGCTACCCATCCACGTCATCGTAGGTTTAAACCGTCCATTGTTCTGGTTTATTGTTTCTCCTCCGTGCATGAGGTGATGGGTATTTGCTCTGTCCTCTGTGGGAGGTAGACCTTTTTTGTAAATGTGTGTCATGTCTCTAATAGCTTAAGAACAAGTCTCTTTGTGTGAGCATTTTAAGGGGATTAAGAGAACCCATTCACCACATTTTTTTTTTTTTAAGTAAACCAACCCTTGTCTCCAAGTGTTTGTGTTCATGTGTCACTTATATCTTGTTTGGTGTGTTTCTGTGGCAGCACAAGATAACAAAGTCTAAAACACAAGCTTTCTCGGGACAATGCTTTTTGTTTAAAAATGTTTATTTTCCAAAGTCATATGTAAAACATCTCTCCTGCACAAGTTGGCATTTCAGAATAGAAAAAAAAAACGCATTCAGTCTAAAACAAATCCACAATTTGAGATGTTTTAATGTTGCGTCATGCAAGCTGCCCGCAGTATATTACAGACGTTCTGCTTGGGGTATGGATGAGGTACACTAACTTGCCGGTTTGGGTATATCTCGGGTTCGGTTGAGCGGCACAGATCTCGGATAATAGTAACAGCTGATAATTAAGATAGTTGGATTTACTTCCGTATATTAAAAGCCAAAAACTCCCACTTCTGTATCTTTCTTAAATGGAAAATAGTTACTCAGTGTTAATCCACTGACCTTCGCCAATGTTACACACGCACAAACACACTTTTCACAGGAGACGTGAGGGGAGGCTGGCTGGCAGACTCTTTGCTGTGTAATTAATTCTGTAATCTTCAGAGAGCGGCCTCAGCCCGGTGTCCCACACTCACACTTCCAAGGAACATTAGACGCAAAGTTTTTGGGCCAGTATTCTCAATCTTTTTTAGGTCTGTGAGTGTGTTTCTGCTCTAAGCTGCTGGGATTCTTGTGGCTTATTTTTCTCTTATTCTTGGTAGCAGGAGGGGGATTGTATAGATGGGTGGAGCGTCACAGTCCGTGTCCTGTGTTCACTTCATTAGACTTTAAACGGCCTACTGGGAGATTGCAACTGCCTTTCACATCACACCACCTGCGTTTCCCATTACACACAGTTCACTCACAGTTACTCATAAGACCACATCGCTCCACACTTCACACCCTCCCTACATACTCGCACACATGCAGCACTAACAGCTACCCACATGCTTTCTTTCCTCATTCTTTCAACACAAACAAAAATACGATGCTGTATAAACCGCTCGCAGGCATTCACAAGCACAGATGTGTACATGGCACAAACACAGCATGTGGTCATGCTCTGTTTTCCATATAGTTTACTGCGATAAATCATCCAGTCATCACTCATCTCGGCTCATGTAAGCCTGCAAATCTCTTTCACACGTCAC